TTATTGAGAGGAGGCAAGATTCGCGGAGCAAAGACCGAACAACGCAAACTCTGGTCAACTGAAACATCCCGCAGCACACAATGGGAAGATAGTTTTCTCTCCATCCCCTGATTTTTCTCATTTGGGTCTGTTCTTGAGTTTTTCCAATGAACATCTATTTCCCTTTCCGTCTATATCGCTGCATGTCAAGAAGAACATTGCCGTCTTTGGACTCTCTATCCCCCTTCTCCTATTACCAACTTACACTCTTTTGATCCGATATGGGAGTTTCTCTCTGCTACATACCCGTGGTCCTGGTTCCCGGCGAAGAAGGGCGCCAACAACGTGCGGGCACCAAACTGGCCTGCGACCAGTATAGACCCATCTGTTCCTTTCCCCTGACGCGTTCAGCGTGAAGCTGCATTGCTTCTCACCACCCTGTAGCAAATCCTCTATTGCCATCGGCCGCGAGAGTTCTACCCTTTCCGCTGAATGGGTCGCGAGCGCGGCCACCACGGCGGCGCCAGAGTTCTGGATCTCGTCCTCGGCAACCAACCTTGAGTTTCTCGACCTGGACACAGCTCTTTCTCGGTCTCAGCTAGACTGCCCAACTCGGCATCTCGAGGGGGATCAACAACATCAACACCCAGAAACTCCACCCTCTAGAGCAGTTGTTAATTTGCCACAGCGCGAAGATTGACACACAACAGCGCGTCTTGCGCGTGGCAGAAGGTCCTAGACTTTGCTCACCCCCGTTGCTCAGGACTTGTTGTCGCAACCCGTCGCCAGTTGACCGACAGGAGAAGCCCGAAGATGCTTTCGACGGGAACTCAGATCGCGCACTCAAGCTTCACGTCAACGGACATCTCGGGCTCCCAATTTCCGTCAATATTGATCTCCAGGAGTCCAGGAGAGTCCAGGAGAAAGGGAATGTTCCCGGTTGCCATCGCAGCAGCGAGCTTGTATCACTCAGACGGGCTCAACGGGACTCCTCAGCACAAGCTCAGACGTTCTGAATGTCTGTACATTCGTAGGTTCGTTCACGCATGGCGATGATCAACTGTAGGAGTGAAGCATGGGCATCGTTTGCGTGAATTGTCCTATTAGTCTTCCCGTTTCAACGTGAGCTTTCTGATCTCCCACGGCAGACTGTGGACTGGTGTGTCCGTGACAACGAATCTTGAACCCTCAGTTGTCCTCTCATTCCTAGGCAATGTTCACAAACTCCCTCTTTTTCCCTCTGATCATGCCTGTAGCGGCGCCATCATTCTCTTGCCATGTTTCTTCGTCGACGTATTCTGTTTCCCCAGCTACTTCCCTTACCCTCCTCCCCAATACTCTCAATCCCGCGAGATTGAACCCCAGCTCTCCCTTCTGCCTGGTCAGCGTCCTTCGAAACTTGCTCCTCACCTCCTCCAACATGCCCTTCATGGCTCTTGAGCTCACAATCTGTTTTTGGTGCGTCTTCAGCATAAACAGCAATATCCGACAGGCCAAGGGGATGGCCCGGCCCTCTTCAGCCCAGAGAGCCAGGAATGTGAAGAGCGCGGGAATCTGGGAGAACGACAGGACGAGCAGCGCATCTTGGAGAGACGCCGAGGGTATCTTTTGAAAAGTGCTGAGCACATAGCTTGATGCGGATATGTTGTTGTTGGCAAGGAATATTGGATTCCGCTGTGGAGGTGCAGCTTTCGGATTCGTTCTTTTTGCTTCATCGTAGATTCGCATTGTTTCTAGATCTTCCATACCGACTTCCAGTGCTTCCGCTATTTTCTCCCCAGCCATCAACGTCTGGGCGGTTTGCTTGCCGGCCGGGCCTGCTTCCAGACCGTCCGTGTTGCCCTCGCCGTCGATCTCATTTGCGTCATTCTCCAGGGATGTCAAAAGAGTGTTCTCATACAAATCCTCCAGTTCTTTTTCTCTCTCTTCCTCCAAGAAAATTTGCTCATCCGTCTGATGCCACATACGGATGCTCTTATCGTGACTCGCCGTCACAACAAACTCCCCAGAGTGGGCCACTGCCATGGCCCAAATCTCGCCCTGGTGACCCTCCAGCTTTTGGATCTGCTCAAATTTGTCGGCATCATAATATTTGATCACTTTATCTTTGCTGGCAGAGAAGAAGTGATGGCCGTTCCCCTCGTCGTTATTCGGAACAAACTTGACGGCGAGGATACTATCCTGGTGGGCAAAAAAAGCCTTGTGACAATCTCCAAAGTCGAGGCCCCACACCCGGACGTTCTTGTCAGCGCTCGAGGTAACGATGAGTTTGCTATCGTGACTAATGTCCATTGCTAGAACAGGGAGCTTGTGGCCGTATAAGGTAAGGAAGAGTTTGAGCGTGTCCACGAAGAAGACCTTGACAGTATTGTCGAGCGTGCTGATGGCGAGGAGTCGCTCGTCGGGAGAGAAGCACACGCTTAGAATGTCGTCGCTGACCTGAAGGGTCCGGGTATGGGCAAGAGTGAGCTTTGCACTTTTCCGCGTTGTCCCCAGAACGTCTTCCTGGATGACTTGAAACTGCCAGAATTTGGCACTTTTATCGGCAGAGCCGGTGAGAAGGGATTTGCCGTCCGGGCTGACCTGAAGAGACCAGATGTCTCGCTCGTGTGCGTTAATGGTGTCCAACAGTGTTGATGCGGCAATATCAAACACTTCAAGTGTACCCTCTCGTGTCCCCACCACGACGATCTTATCACCTGGCAGAAAAGCCACGCAAAGAGCGTGACCGCAGTCTAGGGTTCGTAAACAAGTCTGTGTCCGTGTGTTCCATATCTTCAAGCTGCCGTGAGAGGCTGTCGCTAGCATTCTGTCGTCTGAGCTAAGCGCAACGCAGCGAATGTCTGTACGATGGCCGGGCATATCGACGGTGAGAGCGCGATTGTACTCTGGAGCTTCAGATGATTTCTTCTTATCTGAAGCCGCGACGTCGAAGACCTCGAGTTGGTTGTTTGAAGTGGCTACCAGGACCCGGATCGACTTGCCAGACTTTCCCCCTGCCCAGTCCATCGATCTGACTTTGCCTCCCGTACGGATAAGAACATGAGGCACAAATATGTCCGCAGCTGTTGCGTGGGAAATATCAGTCGAGTCTTCGACGTCGTCACCGACGTCAACCCCCGAATCGGCATCCGCTGTGCCCGCTTTCTCTCTTCTCCGTTTTCGCTTTCGCGCCAGAGATTTTCTGACTTCTGTCTCTGAGCGAATCCGGAATATCTCGACAGCTTTGTCGGAGCCGTGTACGGCAATCAAGTCGCGTTTCGGGTGGAATGTGATACCTAATGGCCGATCGCGGCCGTGGCGATAGAGCGCTCCTTGTTCCTGCAGGATATTTTGTCCTTCTGGTATGTTCATCCCCGTTTTCAGTTTTAAGACAGCGTCGTTGATCGACCACACTTTCAACTCGCCGTCATTTCCCGCCGTGATGCAACCGCTGTCGCCACTCATCAGCCCGAGAGCCCAACATTCTCCATTCGTTTGTGTGACATGCGTCTCGATACAGTGCTGTGTTGACAAGTCCCACACTTTAATCAGGGCGTCCTTGCTGGTAGAGAGGAGGAAATCATGAGATGTGGAGTCATCGTCGAGGGCGTCTTGGGCATCGCCAGCAGTAAGGAAATTTAGGGAAGTAATTTGGTCCTTGTGACCACGAAGACGATACAACCCCACCTCGGCGACCAAATCCCAGAGGATAACGTCGGTGTCCTTTGATCCGCTGGCTAGACGAACTCCAGAGTGATCAAATTTGAGTTGTGTTATCGCTCTCCGGTGTCCGTTGAAAGTGATGATCACCGTTGCTGTTCTCGAGTCCCATATTCGAATCTTGCCATCGTCGTAACCCACTGCAAACACATCAGGGTCGACCTGACTCCGGCAGATGACGGTGACAACAGCATGATCGTCCTCGATGTTCCATACTCCAACTTTTTCTGACGTCTTGAGATCCCATACCAAAACTGCCTCGTTAGCACCTACATAGGCACGACCGGCGCCCACTCTACCCTCATGCTCAGAGGTTGGGTCCCAGACAACGTTCGCGGCGGCTGTACAGATCTGGCCAAAGGTCTTGCTGTGCTCGAATTTGCTAAACAGGTCAGTACTGCTCCGTCTGGTCGCTGGATTTTGTCTTGACTTACAGATATGACTTGACCATTGCGGGAACTCTGGCGGCGCAAACTCGAGTTGAAGCCAAACAACTTTTTCTTGAAATGCGGAGAATGTAGTTGGCAATCGCTGCAAAAATGCCAAGACCTGAAAATCTAGTGTCGCAAGCGCAGTCTGCGGCTGCGCGTCCACAAATCTTGACGTTATCCTCAACACGAGCCACAGGCGACAGTAGGAGTGGCTGGTGACATGCGCTCCGTGGGTTACTTCCCACATGGGTGTTTGCCAAAGGACGGCCATCATTATCATTAGCAAAACGTTTCAACACTTCCACGAGTTTTAACCCAGACCTGCACCGCTTATCAGCCTGTCATGGTCCAACCCCCGAAACTTGAGGACTGCAAGCCAGCGCTACCCCTACTGCTGTTGTGGGCGGATTCCCTGGCCGCACATTCATGCAATCCCCATGCTGTATAAGGACGGACTCTACTTTTCTTGATACGAAGAAATCATTTGTTTAAAAAGATTGGAAAATTATCTTGATTTCTATGAAAGTATTTATTTTCGTTTTTCAGATTGAACGCTGAACACATCGTCGGGGTTTATCGGCACTGACTGATATGGATGAGCGCTGAACACTGACCACAAAGCACTGATCATAGCGCCACCGAACCGCCGGGGTTGATACAAAAAAAGAAATCTTCGGGATTTCCACCATATTCATCTGAAACGCCTCCTCATAAGGGAACATGAAACATGTCCGTCATCCTCGATAAACAAGCCAGGAAACATATCTCGGAGCAGTCAGTTGACTGACTAGGGTGGGTGGGTGGATGGATGGGTGAGTGTCTGATCGTCCTGTGTCACGACGTACGAGCCAGCGCCAGTGGGTCGGAGCAGAGGAATCGATCCAGGTCTTATGTGCTGGTGACGCCATTGGGATTCGGCGCGTATAACGTGCCCTTGGACCACTCCTCGCCCTCCATGTCCTTTTTCCACGTCGGGACCCAATCTTTGGCCCCCTTGAGGCCCGCGGCCTTGAAAGCCTGCTCAAAGTCGTGGATTATGTCTTTGATGTGCTCCAGCCCGAGACTGATCCGGATCATGTCGGGGGTGACGCCTCCCTTGATCTTTTCCTGGTCCGGGATCTGCTGGTGGGTCGTCCGCCAGGGGTGGATGATCAGCGTCTTTGCGTCGCCAACGTTGGCCAGATGCGAGCACAGTTTGAGGTTGTTGACCACGGCTTCAACCTCATCGATATTGCCCGCGACGCCGAAGGTCAGGACCGCGCCGGCTCCCTTGGGCAGCACCCGCTGTGCGAGCTTGTAGTCCGGGTGGGATGGCAGGCCCGGGTAGTTGACCCACGCGACGCACGGATGCTTCTCGAGCCACTGGGCAAAGGCGAGCGTGTTGGACACGTGTCTGTCGGCTCGCACGGGGAGGGATTCAAGGCCTTGCAGGAAGAGCCAGGCGTTGAAGGGCGACATGCAGGGGCCCAGGTCTCTCATGGCGTCCATGCGCAGCTTGGCCGCCAGGGCCTTGTAGCCGTACGTCTCCCAGAAGCGCATGCCGTGGTATCCCTCGGACGGCTCGGTGAAGCCGGGGAACTTGCCCGAGGCCGACCAGTCAAAGTGGCCGCCGTCGATGACGATGCCACCCATCGACGTGCCGTGGCCACCAATCCACTTGGTGCACGAGGCTGTGACGATATCTGCGCCTTGTTTGATCGGCTGCGCGAGATACCCGCCCATGCCGAAAGTGTTGTCGACGATCAGCGGGATGCCGGCTTCGTGGCACACGTCAGCGATGGCCTTGATGTCGGGTACGTTGAACTGCGGGTTGCCGATGGTCTCGATGTAGACGGCGCGGGTCTTGTCGTCGATGAGGTTCTTGACGTCCTGCGGGTCGTTGCCCTGCACGAACTTGCAGATGATGTTGAATTTCTTCATGTACACGCGGAACTGGTTGTGCGTGCCGCCGTACAGGTTCATGGTGCTGATGTAGTTGTGGCCGGGCTCGCACACGGAGGTGATGGCCATGAACTGGGCGGCGTGGCCGCTGGCCGTGGCGACGGCGCCGACACCACCCTCGAGCATGGCCATGCGCGTCTCGAAGACGGTGTTGGTCGGGTTGCCCATCCTAGTGTACACGTAGCCGTCCTTGGACCAGGCGAACTTGCTCGCCCCGTCCGAGGCATCGGTGAAGTTGTACGCGCATGTCTGGTACAGGGGCACCGCCCGCGAGCCGTTGATCGGGTCGGGTTCCTGGCCGCCGTGCAGCGCGACCGTCTCGTACTCGGGAGCTTTGCTCACTTCGCCCAAGTGTCCGGAAACCATTTTCTGTGTTGTGCTCTGTCTCGTAAGTCTTGTAAGGTTCGTAAGTCTTGAGAATCAGGGGGGAGCTCTTGTGGTCAGACAAGAAGACCTGTGACGAATTGTGGAATTGGTTGACAGATTTATAGATTGACTGATATTACAAGAAGGAGGATGAGGATGAGGATGGATCATATATGAGAATCCAAAGCAGGGCGTCTGTCCACCTTGATATACTGCTCTCTCTAATCAACATACGCCTTTCTCTCCAAGGCGGCCAATGCACGTCCAAGCGTGTGCCTTGCTGCATCATGCGGCGTTTGCTGTTGCTATGCACAGTAAAGATAGCGACTGCCTTGCAAGACCGTGCTTATCTCGACAGAGACCGGCGAATGGAGGGGTAAGGGGAGGCGGAGCGGGATGCGTGGTGTGGGTTGTGACATGCGAGATATCACCAGACACGGATGATACACGTCCGCGCATCATATGAACCCGAAACCAAGGTGTTTGTTTTCTTCCTTATTGTGTAGGAGGTTGAACACAGCCCTGCAAAGAATAGGCAATGATACCTTTCTTGGTTTGTGTCTCCTCGTCTCCCTACTCGCTCCCAGGGTAGCCCCTTTTGTCCCAAAAGCCGAAGATACCCGGATCGTCCGTTCCTGATTGGTCTACCCTTATAGAAGTGGTCCAAACGCCGCTTATCAAAAAAAAAAAAAAAAAAGCAAACACCGGCACACAAGCCACCAGCACCACTGGCACTACCAGTGTTATCTTTCTCGACTACGTCTTGTACATCTGTACGTCTCTGTATTTGTACTTTTGGGTAAGAGGTTGCCTGATCCTGACGTCTGGTGAGATCGAAGATGAAGGATCAGATGACTTTGCGCTGAATACCAGGTGATCGGGGGCTTCGTGCTCTGAGGCGGTTCTGAACTATACAATAGACACAGCTGAAAGAGGTTTTGATGGTGGTTGGGTGGATTAAGGGGGGAACACTTTCTTAGAGAGGGACCACGCAAAAAGAAAATGACTGGCATGTTCGAGTCCATCGGAGAACGGAGCAGCAGTGCTAGCTACGGATTATTGAGGTGTGGTTGTTTGTCATCAATGGCAGAGGGTAGAGGCAGAGGTTGCCAAATCAAATCTTGATGAATTGATATACACATTCATTCATAATGCTGTACATACATATTTTTCTATCGTCTACGTAGCAGCCAAAAGGTATTTCCATACACACATCATCTAGTAGACGGCGAAGACCACCCGCCGAGTCCCAAACACCACACCTGCCGAGTCGAGCGCTGGTATACTCTTTCAATAGAGCCACGGACCTGGTAAATCACAAATCAGTATGGTTGCGATGTAGTCGAGGAGGGACAGGATAGGGTAGGGTAGGGTAAGTGTCTTGTGAGAGTTCCTCACCTGTTATGAGCGAAACCTGGCGCTCGGCGTGTCCCGGAATCTGCATCACCTTGGAGTGGATGACCTCCATGGCCAACAGGGCGTCCTGGGTCCGGACCACGAACGAAATGTTGATCTCGCTCGCGCCCTGCGAGATCAGACGGATGTTGATGCGCGCGCTGGCCAGGGCCGAGAAGATCTCGGCGGCGATGCCGACCATGTTTTTCATCTTGTGGCCGACGACCGAGATGATGGACATTTTCGGCACGATTGTCGTGGAGCCGAACTCTTCGAGCTCGGACAGGGCCTCGTCGATCGCGTCCGAGAGGTTCGTCGAGCCGTACGCCGACACGGCCAGGCTGAGCGATTGCCGGCTGCTGCTGGCGAGGTCGACGGAGAGCTGGTGCTGGCCGAGGATGCCGATGACTTGGCCGAGGAATGCTTGGGCAGGGAGCTTGCCGTTCGAGGTGATGTTGACGAGGGCGATGGAGTCTTTGGTCGTGATGGCCGTCGGGACTCGCTTGGCCTGTTCTTTGCCGTAGTACCCGTGCGACGTCATGAACAGTGACCGGCTCATCTCCATTCCGGTAGAAGTGGGCGTCTGTGTTGGGCTGGGACTAGGCGTCGTCGAGTAGACCACGGTGCCGGCGGCGGCAGGATCCTTCACGTTCTTCAACCGCAAGTTGATGTCTTCCTTGTTCAGAAGGGACATGGTCAGCGGGTGAATCACCTCGCTGCCGTAGTATGTCAGCTCGACGGCCTCCTCCAGCGTGATCATGGGCAGCACTCTGGCCGTTGACACTTTGGTAGGATCCGCCGTGAAGATGCCAGCGACCTCTTTCCATATCTGGAGCTCCTCGGCCCCAAGTGAGACGGCACACAGCGCGGCGCACAGGTCTGAATAGCCACGGCCAACGGTATGAAGCAGCGAATGCGGCATTGAGCCGAAGAACCCGGTGACGACGGGGACTTTGCCTTGCGTGGAGCATTGGAGTATCGCATCTCTGACGGCATCTCGTAGCCCCTGGAGGAATGAGATGGGGTTTTGCTTGTAGGCCGCTTGCTGTTCCCGGGGCGAGCGCTTGTCGGCAGCTTGCACAATGTTTTCTAGGTTCACCATCTCTGCTTCGACCCCGTGGAGTGACAACGCGGCAGCAACCACCAGACAAGACAGCTTCTCGCCAACCCCGAGCACACGATCTTGCGTTCTGTCAGACGCTTCACCGATGACCCGCGTCGCCCCTAGGAATCTCCGTAGGGCTTCACATTCTGCGACGATGCTTTGTCGTAATTGCTGAATGATCTCCGAGGAGGAAGGTTGGGGGACGGCATCGCTGGGCAGGGAGTCTGCGACTGAAAGATGTTCATTCTGGATGAGGTCGACCACTTCGTCAAAGTCGACCGTGAGTACGTCCTCCTCTGACGACACGGCGCAAGCCAACGCCCTCAGGAGGAGATTCGTCGTGCCGACCGACTTGCTTGCACTGGACCGCGCAGAGCAAACCACGGCGACGTTGTAGTCGTTCAGGTATTGCGGCACGATGGATTCTGTGATGGTGCCCAGCAGCTTGCCCACGCTGGTGCCGCCATATTTTTGGATGAGCCATGGTCGATAATCCTCTGTTCGTGCAATCATTTTGTTCACTGTGTACTGTGTACTGTTCACTGTTCACTGTTGCGTTGTTGTGTTTTGTTTTTTTACTTCTCGAAGAGGTAGAGGACAGCAACGAATCAATATATCAAGAAAGGATTATGATAATGCAAATGCGACTTACGACATGTCTATAACCGGCCGGACACTATTATACAAATATAGTCATCTCTCCCAAAAGGCCATTACTGGATCATCTGCCCCGTACACACCGGAGAATGTTTGCTTGCCTCAGACCACCAAACCAAAGTCCTGGGGAAGTCCAGCAGTCGCCGAATGTCGAGGTGACGGCGGGATGGGCGGGCCTGACGAGAAAGATAAGGGAGGGCACTCCGACGGTGATTGACTTGCTATTTTGCTGACCAGACAAATCTCGTGATGAGTGGCGACATAGACGACCATCCCTCAAACGCCCGGTGGACTGGGCCGAATTGGACCAATGGTATTCCGGAATTCGTGGCAATGCTATGGCTACCCTAGGTAGAGAAATTTCGAGGGGCCGAGTTCGTTCAGAATTGGCAAGTTACGAATTGGTTTTACTGAACAAATCTCGAAGGGTAAAATCTAAAAGAAATAATATTGGCACAATACCTGACTGAGCTATACTCTGTTACACATAAAAACCAGGGCATCATTTTCGTCATTGTGGAAAACACAGACACAATCGTCAAGGAAATAGATCTATCAAACACCTTTGCAGAAAATCCCTTTTTTGCTTTTGTAATAGATAAATCCGTTTCAAAAATCAGCTTCCAGCTCGCCAAACACACTATTCGTTACAACGTCTGCGTTATCCTCTTCGCCACTATCAGAGACAGGAGCTGTGAAGACGTGGGGAGAGTGTTCCCGGAGGAAGGCACTGATCGATTCTTGCATGGCCGACATTTCCAGCAGAAACCCGTCGTGGCCGTCGGACGAGTTCAGCTTCATCAGTGTCGCTCGAGGCAGAGAATTGGCGAGTAGTGTCTGCTGCTCCGACGGGAACAGCAGGTCTGAGTCTATGCTCACGACGAGCGCGGGTGCTGGACATGTGGCCAGAACGGCGGCGACGTTCTTCGTGCTCGGGTGTTCTTCCGACGCCGATGGTATTGATGTGGTGGTCCTCCCTCTTGTGATGTCGTGAGAGTCCATCTTTCGCAAAAGGTGGATGTAGCAATTCGCGTCGAAGCGCTTCAGAAACTTGTCGGCCTGGTACTGCATGTAGCTCTGTGCCGAATATATCGTGGCCGGGCCGAAGTTCTGTGCCTCTGCCTTCAAATCTGTTGTCTCGGGGGTGTCGTCTCCAGCCACCGGGACTGGCGGAGAGGGGATCGAGGTCATCGGTCTCGAGAAGGACTGCGACGGTCGTTTTGGCCCTGACTTGCGTCGACCGAAGCGTGCCTCGAAGGACGTGTATGATCGGTAGGTGAGCATCCCGATCATTCTCGCAGCGCCTAAACCTTGTACGGGCTGGCCTTGAGGATGAGGAGCATAGTAACCCCCGCGAAACTGTGCGTCGGCTTGAATACATCGGATTTGCGACGTGTTCCATGAGATTCCCCACGCGGTTTGATACGCTGATGTCGATATCGGTATGACCGTTCTCACATAGCCTGGAGGGGTGCACAAAGCCCACTCAAGAGCAATCATACCCCCCATTGAGCCACCGATGACGGACGCAACCTGTCTCACTCCCAGCGCGTCAAGAACCATCTTTTGTATCCGCACATCGTCTCTGAAAGTCGTATCTGGAAAGGTCGGGCCATAGGGCTTGCCGATCATCGGGTCTGTGGTGAGTGGTGATGCAGAGCCGTACGGCGACCCGAGTGAGTTGAAGCAAATGACAAAGAATCGACTTGTATCGACGGCTTTTCCTCGACCGATCAAAGGTTTCCACCAGTCCTCGACATCGCTGCTTCCGGTGAGAGCGTGGCAGATTAGGAGGACATTGTCACCCTCCTCATTCAAGGTGCCCCAAGCGCTGTAAGCGACGGGGACTCGATGGAGCTGTTGACCCGATTCCAGAGTAAACGTCGGGACGATTGCGGTTTTCAAGTTCCGCACCAGGTTCGTGTAGTAATTGCATTCTGGCTGGACATTGAATTCTGCCTGGGGTCAGCGAATGTGTGGCCATGGAAGCCCGTTGTAAGGGAGAGAAACATACCAACATGCATAATGTCTTTCATTTCGGTCAACGTACAGAGTTGAGATCGCTAGATCGATGTCTGGTCTTCGTCAAAGTCCTTCTTCCCCAAACTGGTCTTGCGCTGGTTTTAACCAAGTATTGATTCCGTGCTATATCAATATCAATATCAATAGAACAAGAGTGCTTGTCCAGTCTCCGGCTCCACTTGGCCTTGAAACGCCTCTCGTAACACAGCCAGCCAATAAGGCTGAGGCGAGGACATGTATGTTTCGGTGTTTGCTTTTCGGGCTTTGCTTGGGGGGGAAATGCTTCCACTCTCTCCGGAAAGTGGGCCCGCGACTTTGGCCGGAAACTGCTTTGGGGAATCGGGGATAATACACCAAAAACCAATACGGTGTTCACTCTCGAGTCTTCCGGAATAGGCAGAACGTCTGAAATCGGCGTTGGCGGTTTTGGCCACCAGTCAGATGCAGAGGTCGACCTGTGAAGCACAAAAGGACCATGATGTTCTGGCCAAAGATGCCCCTGCTGCAGCAGCTTGCATTTTCGTTTCGATACAACAATGTCGACAGCGGCAGCAGCAGCAAGTGTCAAGGTCGCTGCGGTTCAAGCAGCTCCCGTCGCCTTCGATCTCCCTGCCTCAATACAAAAAGTCCGACACTTCACAAAGGCGGCAGCACAGGAATCCGCTGATCTCGTCGTCTTCCCCGAAGGGTTCCTCAGCGCATACCCGTGGCGTTACGCCTTCGATGCGACGATAGGGGCACGAGAACCTCGAGGTCGCCAATGGTTCGCCAAATACTACCAGTCGGCCGTGGCGATCCCGTCTCCGGAATTTGAGGAACTACGGAGCATTGCAAGAGACCACAACGTGTTTCTGTCGGTAGGGATCATCGAGAAAGAAAGAGGGACCTTGTATTGCACATCAATACTCCTCTCGAGAACGGGCGACTTGCTGTCCTCTCACCGAAAGCTCATCCCAACGGTATGTCTCTACAAAAATCCCATAGGCCCCCACAGGGTGGTGGTAGATGTTGTATAGTCAGCAACTGATAGATTTGTCTTTCTCGCAGGCGGCGGAACGGCTCGTGTGGGGGAGAGGAGCAGGCGATGGACTCCAGGTGGTGGACACGGAAATTGGCCGCGTCGGTGGCCTCATCTGCTGGGAGAACTATATGCCCGCGGCGAGACTGTCTCTGTACCAACAGGGCATCGAGATCTACATCGCCCCGAACGCCGACGACCTGCCCTCGTGGGTGGCGTCGATGCAGCACATCGCCAAAGAGGGACGCTGTTTCGTGATATCGTGCAACCAGTTCTGCAGGGTCGCCGACTTTCCGTCTGACTATCCACCTTTCTCGCCCGGCCACCACGACAGACAGGCCGACGGGTCTCCCTGGACCCCAGACGCCGTACTCAGCCACGGCGGCTCGTGCATCGTCGGGCCCCTGGGGACGTTTGTCACGGAACCGGTCTGGGACCGCGAAGACATCGTCTACGGACAACTGAACCGGGACGATCTACTCCAGGCTCGAATGGACTTTGATCCAGTCGGGAGCTACGCCAGACCAGACATCTTCACGCTAACCGTCAACAGAAAGCCGGGGGACAATGTTGTCTTTACTGACTGAATTAAGCACCCGCCCCCCTTGCCTATTCCTCATACATACCGAGTAATCCGGGGGGGGGGAGGGGGAAGAGAAAAGGCGCGCCCCAAAATATTCGAGAGCCTCGTTCCGTCTCCTGTCATGTGGCGTGACCAGTTGCCAGATGATTATTACTCGGTACCGAGTACTTTGTACATACATAGTCGCGTATACCCTGAGACTGTACATAGATAGAAGATAGATGATCCACTCCCAGAAACGGTGCACGAAACCCCCCTCCCCCCTGTCCACAAGCAATTTAGGGTCTAGTGGACTGGGTATTCCAGGGGGCTTGGGGGCGCTTTCATTGGGTGATAAGCAACTTTTTGCTTATCTCTCTCTACAAGTACGTGTTACCTCGTACGAAGGAATGGCTCACTATAAACCTGCGCAACCACGCGGGCTATGAGTTCTAGCCCCCCCCCAGAGCGGCGGTCCCCCAAAAAGTTGATGTTCGGTATCTTGAACTGCTGGTTTGATTGATATATACGTATTTCACTTTCGAGCTCTAACTTTTTCCCTCTTTTCTATCTCCACTCCGTCTTTGTTCGCGCCCCCAATCTTGTTTTTCCGCTTTTCCCAATTTCTATTTTGACAGCCCGTGGGTCGATCGGAAGTCCAGGAACGGGGTCGACCACACGACCACCTCGAAACCCCGCCGACCCAAGTATCAAAATCCGGAGACTTTAGTTCGAACCTCGAGGTTCCCTTGCAAAATTTCTCATGTCTACTTCGACTGTCGTGGAGAATGGGCCAATGGCGTCGAGTCTGAGCCAGAGCCAGAGCCAGGGCCAGAGCCGCCGGCGGAAGAGCATCCTGCCACCAGTAAAGGTGGCCTGCACATCGTGGTAAGACCCTGCCTGGAATCGAAAAGCCATTCTACGTTTGGGAACTCGTCTTATAACCTTCCCCGGTTCCAAAAAGCCGTGCGTCTCGAACACGATGTGACGCCAAAGCTCCCTGTAACAATGTATGTATTCTGTCGTGGTGTGGTGTGGTGTGGTGTGTTTGGGTGGGTTTTGGTGCTTGCGACTTACCACCTGTGTTTGACTTTCATGGGAACCTCTTTGCCTGATAATATTATAGTGTTTGATCAGGGGCAAAGAATGCCGTTATGTCAAAAGCAATCGTGGCGGTCCTCGCGTGTCGCGGAAAAAGGCCATCATGGCCGTGGAAAGGCAACGGCGGGCGGATGAAGCGGCAGCAGCTCCTACAGCACCATCTCAATCCCAGAGCGAAACAATGGCCTCGGAAATCAACATCGATTGGGATGCGTTGATCCTGTCGTCGGAAGAGATCCACAACGACCTCATTGCCACCATGATCGCTCCGGGAGCTGGGTTGATTGACGTCGGCGGTGACGAGGATGACAGCGACCAGATCTTTGACAACATCTTCATGCCCGCTTCTGAAGGCAGTGACTCAATCGACGCCATGGAGGAGGACGATCCACAGGACAAAGTATACACGCCAATCACTCGGAACTACCAAGAGAACGAGGCGATCCTCAATGCCTACTACATCTTCATTCATCCGTACTTCCCGATCCTGCCACCGCCAGTGACGACACTGCAGGTTGACGACCCAGCGAGCGAATCCAAATTCTTCGAGCCGGCGTCGCCCTTGGTCATGGCATTGATGGCGATTCTTGTTCTGATCCCCCATCCCGAGGACGAGTACCCCGATAGTGATGAGTCTGTATGCCTCCGAAGGCAGCGAGCTCACTCTTTCTCCCAAATGACCATGGAGAGTATCGAAATTGAGACCGAGCTGCTCGAATCCACTATCAACCCGTCCGAGGCCTTGGATCATCGTCGACCATTGATCGAGCGTGAAAAGTTCCACCCTTGTGTGCCAGTGGAGCTGGAAGGTGTCCTGGCACACGTATTGTTGAGCATCTATGAATATGCCCAGCGAGGGAATTTGGCAAAGATGAGAAATCGGGCCAGCCAAGCATACGATGCCGCCGTCAGACTCTGCCTGCACGACATTTCTGATCTTTGTTTGGACCAATACACAGAGGCACGTCGACGTGCCTGGTGGATGACAGTAAGTGGATGGGTGAGCCGTGACTGGTGTGGACAATACCGGCTAACCCGTATTCCAGTATATTGTCGTTCTGCAGTCGTCCATCGTTAGCAGCACGGTAGGTTTGATAGTCGACCCTCGGTGGTAACCACTGTCTGATCTGGTTGAACTAGCCTCCTATTATCTCGATTGATTTCCATCAGTTCAAGACGCCTTTACCAACATCAACTGCGGACCCTGATGCTTGGTTGTTCTTCATTGAAGCCCAGCAGTGCATCCTGAAGTGTACCCAATACACTGTGGCGCTGAAGAAGGCCCTCGACGGCGGACTGGGGGACAGCATGCTCGAACAGAGGAAAGCCATGCTTGAGAGCAGTCTCGATTCAGTCCTCTTGCGATATGCCTGCCCGCCGAACGAAACGTCGACCCCGTCGCCCACAGATGCCGAAGAACAGGTCCTGGCCAAGTCGCTGCGATTACAAGCGGTGATCAAACTCAACAGTGCGAGGATCAAACTTCACCGATATCGCGCTTTTCAAGACGTTCCAATATTCACTCGCCGCCACTGCGATCTCGATCAAGCTGATGTCTCTTCTCCGCGTCCACTCGGATGCTCCTGCCATGCCATGCTTCCATCTGCGTTCTCAAATACCTCGCCGAATGGATATCAGTCTGGTGGCTTTCCGGGGCTCCGATCACACTCGCCTCAGGGGAGTGCTTCTGATGCATCTAGCGACCATATAGATGGACTCCCAAAAGGCGTATCGATCACTGACCTGTCTGCAGCCAAGACTTGCCTCAGAGCTGCCCTTGCCATTGGCAGGGCATTTGAGTCCTTCCCTTACCCCAATCCCATGCAGTTGCCACTCCCTCTGCCTTCTTCACCAATGCTGTCACTCGACTCTTCAACTCCAGCTCCGCGAACCATGCCCTCATTTGCCTGCTGTGCCATGCAGAGCTGCTACACCCTGCTCACGCTGTGCTACAAAAGCCTTGAAATGCAGTGCATCAATCAAAGGAGCTCGGCCGCCGACAAGGGGATAGATGATTTGTATGCCGGAGTGGGCCGGGTGTTGAGAGCGCTACAAAATTATGCCATTGCATTTGAGGCACTGAATGGCATGGTTCGTAAGTTTTGTTTCATCTTTGAGTGAGGAGACCTTGATGCTGATTTCCCCATAGAACAGGTCGAGGAAGCCCTTGAGGCGCTCAAGCACGTCCGACAGCACAACAGCTGAAGGTCACAATTTGAAGAATAATGTCACCTGCACAGTCTTTGACCTCTTTGACCTCTTTGACTACCTGTTTTATTACTCCGTTCGTTCGCCATCTCAAGCATGCGGCGAGATTCGATAACGCTGGGAACCGGAGATCCAAAGAATGCTAAGGGTCCTAGCAAGACGTCCATGAGGCAAGCGGTGATTTCTTTATCGTCGGCCAGAACCTAGATGGACCGGGCAGGCGTGACTCTTTTCGCTGACGATAGAATCAAGCCCAACGAGGGTAAGAGCAATGTTTTTGGGCTAGGAATATTGGCAAGGGACACACTTGGCCTTCTTCTACAATTGTATGGAATTGCGTGCTGAAGAGATTGGAGTTGCCAAAAGGACTGTCGCTATGGTCGATCCCGTTCGCCCTCAAGGTTATTCAGGCCCCCACAAGTCGAGGTTCTGGATGGTGTTCAGGTGGTGCCATTACTGGGATACCCACGATACATCGCTCAAGAAGAGTTCAGTGACGTTGGACCAATCGGGGGAAGGCTCCGCTGGAGCTTAGGATAAAGTGGTATTCGCTCATTTTCCGGGATCAAATCTATATCTTGCCTCCAGTTAGTATGTTTTTTTTCCTTTCAAGAGTAATTCCCAAAGGGGGTATCTTGTAAGATTAGAGATAGCGAACTCGAAAGACTCGCAAATGCAAAGCGTGAAGGCCAACCGGAGCTTGTCGACACAAGTGTATGGATCGCCATCAAAAAGTCACCAGATATCGCGTTGATTGCTAAACATTTGTTCCTGTCATCTCTGACGGCTGTCAGACACTTTTTGATACGTGGTAGCCAGCAGCTCCTGCATTTGGTAAAGGGCTCATCTGAGATCTAAGATGGATCCGGCTAGTGCAAGTCCAACTCAGTCAGGGTTTTCTTGTACGTAAATGGAAGGACACGTACGAGTGCAACGGTGTACGGGGCAAAGAAACACTATAATATGATTGTGTAGGTACTTAAAGACATAGTCGAAGGAGGGGAATGAAATGCGGGCGCTGAAGTCAAAGGAAAGAATAATTCGCTGTTCTTGTCATCCCGTCCGTACGTTGTTTTTGGGATAGAAGCTGGCTGTGAGGACCGCTTGTTCGAAAGGTGCAAAGGTGTATTTCTCTCAAGGACCACCACGGTCTGGGCTGTCCACACTTCTTATCGTGGGCATACAAGGCACAGAGCCTCAAACCAAGTGTCTCGCAAGGTTACCGCCTGTCGGTCTCGAGTTTGCTGATTCTCACGGGTTCATCGTGAAGGCCGCTTCTCTTGGTTCAGAATAGGTTCAACTTCTGTGTTCGACATCTCATCATGCCGATCCGACCAGCCACGATATCCGACATACCTGCCATGGCAGAGATATATGCTGCTGCTTTCAGCTCCAACCTCATGTTCCAGTTTCTCTTCCCTTACATAGAGGAGCATCCCGAAGCATTCGTCCAGGCGGCCAGAGAAAACCTGACGGTGGCGTGGTACGACTTCAGTCAGATCTTTGTCGTGTCATATGAGGCTGGTAAAGTGGACAATGGGCAGCTTCACGATGCGCGGAGTGCATTGCTGTCCAGTGGGGGGCCGGAGCACGCTAGAAATGAAACGGTCACGGGTTTCGCCCAGTGGCAACGGGTGGGGACAGGCTGGGAGCATGTACATGGGATATGGGGACGGTGGGATCCTCGTGAGTCAAACCAACGTCTTTTCCACTCACCAAACATTGTCTTCTAATTTTGATGTCAGGTCTCATGATAATGCCTGCAGTTTCGACGTTTTACAGCATCCGTCGATACATTTGGCCTAACAAAGCGGCAGCACGACCGACCGATAAAGATCCTGATCCTCTCACCATCTGGAACTTCCTGCCTCGAATACGACCCCTTTGCCTTGACTTTTTCAGTGCTCCCCATAGACAGATACACTGGTCATTAGAGTTTTTGGCTATTCACCCCAACCACCAAGGCAAAGGATTCGGTCGGGAGCTCGTAGAGGATGGACTGGTGAAGGCGAAGAAGGATCCTGCAGGAGACCTCCCCGTGTGCGTTGTGGCTGCGGAAGGTAAAGAGTATTTCTACCTCAAGGTCGGTTTCAATGAGTTATTGGGTTACACGAGCCAGGTTGTTGGCAAGGATGGCAATGAGAACCCATTGAAAAACAATAATATTGGGGGTGGAGCGATGCTCTGGACAAAGTAGAAGAATGAGGATCAAAATAGATGCGCGCCCGCCGTGGACTAGCGTGGCTAGATTTACAAACAGTGAAAAGGTGGCAAACATCACAAACATTGCAAACACCACCGCTGATTGTCAAGTGCCAGTTTGTCAAAGCGATTCTGTTCAACAGCACACAATGCTATATCACATTTTGAACCGGACGGGTTCTTTATCTGTCCTAGAAGAAACATTCAACATCTCATCGCGCATGATGCCGCCCTTTCAACGTCCAGGCTCAAGGGATTAACACTTCCCCTCTCCGTTTCAAGCGAGTCAATGATCTGAACATTACCACCACATATCTGCGCCTTCGATGGGTTGAACCTCGGCTTGCAACAAGGCAATGCAGCCTTCAAAAGGGGTATTAGTTGGTCTAAGCGGAGATGTTTGGAGAAATTCAAGACGATCTTGGGGGGCATACCGTGGCACGCGTGGTCAATGGCTATGCTGATGCAGTAGCACGCATTCCTGCGATGAAAGCACGCAATCACCGTGATTAGATTGTGTACAAGGAGTACTCCGTTCACTACAACCCCGCATCTCAGGAGGTATGATCGTCTGTCTACCTTTTAAGCACCATCGCCCACGCCATCTGACCGAAACGTCTGGCGTGCTCCGTGGACCAAGACACTTCTCTAGACGTGCCAAAACTACAACACACCCCCGAAAATGGCGCCATCTGCCATTGAAACTGAATCGGCACCACAGGCGGCCAAGCAACTCTTGATCAAGCCTTGGAGTCGACCACAATATACGAAAGAGGAGCTTGATTGGGCTCCGCTAACCACCATCGACCTATCCCGTTTTGACGAGGAAGGAGGCAAACAAGAGTTGGCTAAGCAGCTTTACGATGCTGTCACTCGAGTCGGCTTCTGGACTGTCGTCAATACGGGCATCGATGACGGCAAGGTACTCCGCCAATTCAGTTTTGGTAACACTTTCTTCAAGCAACCAATCGAAGAAAAGCGCTTCTTCCCATGCAACTTTGCGGAAGGAGAATACTTTGGCTACAGAGAGAACTCCCGGTGGGTTGGAGATACTGGCGTCAAAGAGAACATTGAGATGGTGCGTTTGATACTTCAGCCAACATGAAACAAGCTCATCTTGTCCAGCTTAATATTCAAAAGCCTATTCCTATCTATGAGAATGTGCCGAAACACCAAATTGTCCGCGAAAACTGGGAAGAGATTTCGGCATTCCACAGGGAGTTATGGGAGAAGGTCCTCCGGAAGTTATACGTACTGATTGCCATTATTCTCGAGCTCCCGGAAAATTATTTTGTGGACGCACATGCTTACGAGGGAGAGTCCGATGATCACCTGAGATACATGATCTACAATGTCAGAACTCAGGAGGAATGGGACAAGGCCCAAGGCTATACCAAGGGCGGGCACACCGACTTCGGCAGCCTTACCTTGCTGTTCTCACAGCATGTCGCCGGATTACAGATCCGGACACCTGAGGGGCAATGGAAGTGGGTGAAGCCTGTTGAAGGGGGTATCACTTGTAACGCAGCCGACACGTTGTCTTTCCTCACGAACGGTAATACTCGATCATCCATTACGAAAACCCGAAATGCTGACTGAATCATTCGTACAGGTTTCATCAAGTCAACAGTTCACAGGGTGGTCACTCCTCCAAAAGATCAAATGGACATCCCTCGTCTAGGCTTGCTCTATTTCAGTCGCCCTGGAGCGAGGACTCCCATGAGGACCGTCCCATCACCCCTCCTTGAGCGTCTCGGCCTTCTATCAGACGAGGATAAGGACCCTAACAAGCCAGTTCCCACAGGAACCGAGTATGTCCGAGCCCGAGTCAAGGATGTTCATCACAAGAAGGTGATAGAGAAGCGCGAAGGGACTTCTTTCAACTTCAAAGGAGTGAAAGTCCAGAACTACTATGACTAGTTTTTGGGAAGACGGGAGGTCTTTCCCCACGCTGTCCTAAAGTCAAGGCTTCAAAGCCCATGATAACCGACGTCCAATAGCCATGACCCAGAATGGTCAGCGGTCGGCCGAAACCGTGGCCTGAGCGATTCTAGAATGAGAAGATCTGCCTTACCCTACGATTCCATGACTTCCCGCAGAGGCGAAAAGCTCTCTGGTGTGGTCGCTTAAGCCCATAGTAAAGGCCACGTGTGGTATGCATTTGAGGAGCGTCTCAACGGTTCCGACACGGTCTTCACCACGTGAGAGTCCTCTTATCGTGGATACTCGACCTATCAGACCGGAGGTGGATTGCCGCAGGCGAAGTGGCCGTTCGTGGTATTGCAGTCAATTGAACAATGTGCCCCTTTCGCTCGACATGATTGGTTGGTCGGCTTCACTCCACCATGCAGTATTTTCTTCCCCTTTCGGTTGATAGCCACTCAATGCTGCATCAAAGCTATCGTCAGGAAAAATTTCTGCAGCATGGGAGTGGCACTGGCGCTGGCGAGAGACACTACCCTGGAGGGCGATCTCGAGCCCAAAAGAACAAATATAATACAGGGTGGTGCAGTGAGAGAGATGGAGACACCATCAACTCCAGCTCCTCCCCAAACGCGCCCTTGTTGGCTTCAATTTCAGGCTTCCTAACCGTCCCAATCGCCAGCTTGACGACATGGACCACGAGGAAGACGTCCAGGAGAGGAAGTTTCCTGCCTCTCAGGAATACGATGCGGACCAGGAACGAGACATCGCCTTCCCACCCGCCCCTCTCGCCGAAGTGCCCAAGGGGCGATGGGAACGATCATGGCCCGTGATCGCCTGTGGAGCTGGACTCTTCTCCGACGGGTACCTGAACGGCGTTATCGGTTCAGTGTCGACAATGCTTCAGCTCATCTATGGCGACCAGTACAGCAAGTCGTCGTATAAGAGCGCTGTCCCCAGTATTGCCTTTGCCGGCACTGTGGTTGGACATTTGTTCTTTGGAATCCTGAGCGACCATTGGTCTCGCCGCAATACGTTGCTCATTTCAACCATCAGTACGACCCTGCCGCGTATATTCAGCCCTCTTCCAAATGTTGGTGCTAACACAAGCGGATAGTTCTTATCATCTTCTCAATTCTTTGCGCTGGCGCGTACGGAGCAGGCGGCAGCACCCAAGGTCTCTTCGCTGCTCTCTCGGCCTACCGATTCCTGATCGGCCTAGGTATCGGAGGAGAATAGTAAGACACTCTGTACGCGTCGTCCTGGAAGCTTTTACTGACACTCGCACAGCCCGGCCGGATCAGTGGGCGCGGCCGAGTCAACGGGTGAACTCAAGAAAGGTCATCGCAACCGGTGGTTTATCTTGGCCACCGACTTTCAGATTGATCTCGGCTTCGTGATCAGCGCGTTCGTCCCTATGATTGTGGTGCTGGCGACGGGTGAAAACCATCTGCGCGCGGCATGGAGAATCTGTCTGGCACTAGGGGCCATTCCTCCGCTAAGTCTGATTTACCTCCGGTGAGCTGCCCGCTGTATTTCTGAGATGTTGCTGTAGTATAGTCGCTGACGCGCGCGTGCCCTAGAATCAAGCTTCAAGAACCAGAACAGTATAACCGCAACAAGATGAACAAGTTTCCCGTGTGGCTGATTGTCAAGTTCTATTGGTGGAGATGTACTGTCATCTCCATCATCTGGTTTGTCTACGTGAGTCTGGCCGTCGTGTCCATCGCCACGGCATAAATCTGACCAAGCCTCACGCAGAACTTCTCCGCCTATTCATTTGGCATTTTTGCGTCATCCTGGCTGGTTTTTATCCTCCCCACCGACGCGCCGCTGTGGAAGAATTTCGGAATGGCTACCGCAATTAACAGGTGAGTTACTTGTGTTGAGAGATTGTATATACAGCCGGGTCGAAGAACGTCGATGGGGTTCGGGCCCGCGCTCAGTGACCGGGGCTAACAGACGCTTGTAGTTTCTGGATTCCAGGTTCCTTCTTCGGTGCTTTCCTGGCTGATTGGATCGGTCCCAAATGGTGCCTGATCGTGGGTGTCACGTTGCAAGGTATTGTCGGATTCGCCATGACGGGGGCCTACGGCGAACTGAACCATCCCTCGCGCGTTGCCGGGTTCATCATCCTGACGGGCATCTTCATGGCATTGGGCGAGGTCGGCCCCGGCGACAACATCGGGCTCTTCGCATCGAAGCTCTCCTCGACGCCCATCCGCGGACAGTTCTACGGCATTGCAGCGGCGTGGGGGAAAGTCGGCGCCTTTGTCGGCACCTATGTGTTCCCGCTCTTGATCGACGCTGCAGGCGACGACACGGTCAAGCAGGGGCAATATCCCTTCTGGGTCAGCAGCAGCCTATGCATCTTCAGCGCGGTCGTGGCATTTGTGGGCTTGCCCAACGTCGGCCAGGGCATGATCGAGGAGGAGGACGAGAGGTTCAAGCGATACCTCGAGGAGCACGGATACGACACGAGCCAGCTGGGGACGAAGAAGTTTAGAGGAGAGACTGCCGGGGCACTGTAGTTGGGGAACAGAACGAGATGAGTAGCTCATCCTTTACTGGAGACAAGTCTTTGCGGGAGGAATTTTCCTCGCTAACAAATTGTAGAGGCACTGACTTCAACACGCCATAGATATAATATATTCCTTTTCCCAGCAGTTGAAAAGAGCTTTCCTCTGATGCGGAGCACAGGCTTCAAAGACATCGAATACCTCTTCTCATGTTGAACTGGATCAGTTCTACTCAGCGTACCTGGTGGTGAACAACGACAAGTCCGTCCTGGAAGAAAAAGGTCGAGTTGTCTGCTTTAAGTAAGTGAAGCGGCGACTTGAATTCCACGTGACCCCAGACATCCAATTTACTTGCCTGTGCCAGCCTCGTCAGCTCCCGACATGTGCGGCTTGACCATCCACAACAAAGATGTCCACTTTTAAACGATTACTTGGGTGCTCCAATCCGCGTAGACTGCGTTTCCAAATTCTGTCAGATCTTCATCTCGAGACGGGAAATCAGTATAAGAGTTTCCAGGTTCCAGTTCAAGCCCCCATTCTCATCTTGGCTGGTGACATTGGCCGGCTGCACGACTACGAAAATTACCTGTTCTTCATAAGTACGCAATGCGCCAAGTTTGGCCAAGTGTGTCTCGTCCTCGGAAATCACGAGTTTTATGGCGTTTCACGAGCTGAAGGCTTAGAGCTTGCCTACAGGTTGCAGAGAGAGCCCAGTACGCTAGGAAAGCTGTCTGTCCTCAACCGGACAAGGTTGGACGTCGACCCGTCCATCTGTGTGCTTGGTTGCACTCTCCAGTCACATATACGACCGGAAAACCGAGCTGAGGTGCAAAGCCGGATCAAAGACTTTCGAAGAATACATGATTGGAGTGTCGACCATCACAACACTGAGCATGCCAAGGACGTGAAGTGGCTGCGGAATGAGGTTGAGTCGATCAGACTTGAATCTAAGCGACAGGGCCGAGAGAAAATGATTATTGTTGTCACCCATCATGCACCCATCAAAAAGGGAAGCAGCCATCCCAAGCACGAGGGAAATCCGTGGGCCGATGGATTTGCTACAGACTTGCTCGGCGTTCCTGGAGGAATCAGCAGGGTAGATTGGTGGATTTTTGGCCACACGCACTTCACAAACCAGTGGCGGCAGCACGGAGTCCACCTTGTCAGCAACCAGCGAGGTTATGTGCTGAATCCTGCTGGTGGAACTCAGCTCTCACAAGGACCTCAGCAGCAACCTATCTGGCGAGTTGTCTCGTCCCCATTCGCAAGGGAAATGTGCTTCGATCCACGGAAATGCATCGAGGTCAAAGCTTTGTAGCGCTGTGAAGGCTACTCTATGCACGAATACCAGCTTCACACGTTACCTTGGGCATTTGAGAGTCGAATCAAACGCCACTGCCCCCGGACCATGCCTGTCCAGTACGTGCACTGCATGAGTGGATATAGGCTCATCATCAGTATCGTATAGCCTGTCCCTTTAGGCTGCCGAAGAGGAGGAGAGCAAACAACCTGGAACATCTTTTCACGGTCGAACAGAACAAAGGGAAAGCTGGATCCAAATTGACACTGAGGTATCTGTTGATTTATCACTGCTCTCAAGGCTGGTTTCAAACGTCCTTCGGGGACAAAGGAATCCTCCTTGGCCTCCATCTACCAACCATATAGTCGAGACGTACACATCGCAGTCCCGACGATTCGTGGGGGAAGGTTACACCGGGACGGCGATTTCCACGCTCTTTTCGGTAGGTACACCCTTCTCCTTCAAGGCGCCGTTGGTCTCCTTGCCCACGACTGTGAAACCCTTCCAATCGTTGAGAGTGTCGCGACACTGGGACTCGTACATCTTGATGCCGCCCGGGTGGGTCAGGATCTGAATCTTCTTGCCGGGGATGTTGGACGCGTTCCACCAGCTGTTGGTGAGCGGGAAGAGCGTGTGCTCGTTCATGGCGTCGATCATGCCGTCCCACTCGTCCTCGGCGTCTCGGTTCGGCTCAATCGTCTTGGCGCCTTCCTTCTCCAGCTTCTCGATGGCGGCCAGGATGAAATCGCTCTGCGCTTCGATGATGGTTGGTCCGTTCGAGAGTGCGGTGGGAGCTGAGTGTGCAAAGTCAGCATATGGGGCGAGCAAGCCCCGTATAGATCGGGAAAGGAGAGAAGGAGAGCATTACCATGGGGAGTATAGACCATGAAAGCATTAGGGAAGCCGTTAAACGTCATGCCAAGGTATGTCCGGATACCATCCTTCCAGACGTCCTTGATATCGACGCCGTCTTTGTTCTTCAATCCCATTTGGGTCAACCTGGGTTCTTGAGTTAGCACTGATGCTTCTCCGCATGGACGAGGTAAACCAAGAACTCACGATCCAGAAAATGAGTCGAAACCCGTGGCAAGGACAACCACGTCGAAATCTAGCTGGGTGCCGTCCTCCATCAACATGCCGGTGGCATTGAATGTCTTGAGGGGGTTCTGGTTCATATTGACAATGTGGACGTTGGGGCGATCGAGCATCTCATAGTAGTCCTGCTCCAGAGGGCATCTCTTCGTACCAAAGTAGTAAGGCGCCTCGACGGGCACCATCAACTCCTGCTTCCTCGGGTCCTTGATCCTCTGCCTCATCTTCTTGGCCCAGAAATCATACACCTTTTGATTCGCCTCTTTGCTCAGGACGACGTCGCTATAGTTCCCCATGAGGAAGTTGAAACCTCCTCTCTGCCAAAGCATTTCGAAGTGTCGCTCGCGTTCTTCATCCGACACGTCAAGCACGCCGCGTGGTTCAGGTTTGCCGGGGAACCCGGCATTGGACTGGCGTCCCTCGCGGAATAGAGCCTCAAAATATGCCTTCCACGACCGTTGCTCCTCGACACTGAGAGGCCGTTGACCCATAGGTAAGCACAGACTGGGCCGACGCATGAAGACAGTGAGCTGGTCAGCTTCCTTAGCCAGCTCCTGTACGACTTGCACAGCAGTGGCCCCAGCGCCAATGACCGCCACTTTCTTCCCCTTCACACTCATGTCTTCAGGCCAGAAGCCCGTGTGGTGCAGGACTCCGTTGTACGTCGTCAGGCCAGGGAAATCCGGGATGTGCCTTCGGTGTAGAAGGCCGGTGCACAGAATCAAGTACTTGCTCTGCGCAATGTGTCCCTGTTCGGTCTTGACCGTCCACTTCTCATCGCTCTTGCTCCATCGAGCATCCACCACGTGGGCGTTGAACTGGACGTCCTTGCGCAAGTCAAGAACCTTATCAATGTGCGCGCAGTACGCCCGGATCTCTTTGTGACCAGGGAACTTCTCGGAGAATTCCCAGTCACGATATACTTCGGGGATGTTCAGCTGATAGTACGGCCACTCCGAGTCCACGCGGGCTCCGGGATACCGGTTCCAGTACCAGACGCCACCAAAGTCACCTCCAGATTCAAAGATCTTTGCGCTAAGCCCTGCCTTGCGGAGCCGATAGAGCATGGATATGCCACTGAACCCGGCCCCGACTATCAGGACATCGCTATGGACGATGGCGCCCATCGATGGGTTTGTATCAGTCATCTTGCTGGAGGGGAGGAAAGAAAAAAGTGTGGATGGAAACAAAGTCGAGGCAGGAATTGTGTGAGCGGAGGGGATGAGGAGACGATCTTATGGCAACACAGTAGGACGCCTTGTCACACCTATTTTAATCCCGCGTACGCCCGCGGTACATGTCGCAAAGTGGTCCTCAGTCCCCATCCCCATGTTCTCTGCCCCAAACTGCCGCGGTTCATGTGTGGGGGCTGCCGCCGCTCTTTGCGCTCACCCCGCTCGGTCGGTAGCGGGGCTTCCGTCATCGATAGTGATTGGGTGCTTGGCCAACTCAACCCCTGTCCAATGAGCAAAAGGAGCGCTTCAAAAGCAGCGCCATAGCATCGACGCTTTGGGCGCAACACATTTGCCTATAACGGTAAGGTGCAATATTGCCCCTTGGACTGCGCGTAACCACTCGTCACCAACCACCTACCGAGTACAGATGACAGCGTACCTCGTACCGCGTATCCATTTCCCTCCAGTGATATATGGTCCGCAGTCTCGGCGGGGTCTTTGTGCGACTCGAGTGACCGGATCTCTACCTCATTAGGGTCAAAGGAGTTAGGCATCCAAGGCTTACGCCTAGCTTGGGTCGACGCTCTGTCTCTACCTTTTTCGCATGTGTGCCCCGTGTGAAGGTGGACAATCCTCGTGTCATGCTTGCTTTGCGGAGAACTACACTGCCTTATCGCTACATATATACCTTCAAATCCTCACCATGTCCTCCCTTGCGATGCTCTCCTGGTCTGCGAAACTATTCTTCTACTGCGAGAGGTGGCCGACAGGATGATAATCGGACCAAAAAAATCGAGGAAGAAACCCTTCCCTACTACACGCCAGCGAACTTCTACCCAGCTTACATAGGCGAGATCCTTTCCAAGTATGAAGTTGTTGGCAAGCTGGGATTCGGGGCCAGCTCAACTGTGTGGCTTGCCCAGGACTTGGGGTCGGACCATGAGCCTTTTGCAAAAGCCTCTAGCTGATCTTCAATTCACAGGCAAGAGAAATATGTCGCCCTCAAGATCTTCGCACGCGACGTCAGTCCTAACCTTGCCCACGAGGTGAAGATATACGATTACCTAAGCACAATCGCATCTGAGCATCCAGGACGAAAGCATATTCGGACCTGCCTCGACAGCTTCGAGGTTGAAAATCCCGACGGCCAGCATCAGTGTCTGGTGCATCAACCACTTTGGGAAAGTCTTCGTGCGCTTCAGAACCAAGACAGTCGACGCAAGCTCACGGAAGAGCTTCTGAGACCGGTACTATGGTGCATTTTGCAAGCGATCGACTACCTGCACAGTGAATGTCATTTGGTACATACAGGTGAGAGAAACCCCCGGCCCGAACCAAGCACCCAGCTAAAACCATCTCTCAGATATCAAAGCGAATAACATCGTGCTGGGTCTTGGGGACGAATCAGTTCTGGAGGCTTTTGTCAAAGAGGAAGCTGCAAACCCTGGTCCGCGGAATATCTATGCGGACCGGACCATCTACCAATCTCGTGCGATCACGAGGCCCAAGACGATCGGACTTCCCATTCTAAGCGACTTTGGGCTGGCTCGGTTTCGGGGAAGCGATCGCGACGATATGGGACCTTTTCTACAACGAACATCTATTCGATGTCTACGATCCGGCCACAAACAAACTTTCAAACCGATACCACATTTCTGAGATGGTGGCAGTTCTTGGACCACCGCCTGTCTCTTTCCTGGAGAGGAGCGAGACAAGTTGGAAATATTTCGATCACTCCGGTAAGTCCTCCCTTCCGTCTGATCCTAGGAATGGGTGTGAGGCTGAACCGGATTCTTTCTATAGGTCGCCTCACGACCGGTGTGGACCTGAGCGACAAGCAATCGTTGGACACCCGGGAAGAGCGTCTTGACGGCGAGAATAAGCGGCTTTTCCTCGAGTTCGTCAAGTCAATGTTACGGTGGGATCCGAATGAACGGCTCACTGCGCGTGAACTCCTCGATGACCCTTGGCTGAATAACTACAACTTGTAAGCGACAGAGAGAAACAGGCATCCTCGCCACTCTACTTCCACCGTCAGGCCGAGAGGGTTAGGGTCAGGGTCAAGGTCAACCACAATCTGCAGATGTGAAGAAACCCCCAACCCGACAGTGAATGTGCAAAAAGTCGCTGGATATATTGGTGTGCGCTATCTGGGGCGTGATCAGTTAAGGATGGACAGATTCTCAGCGCTTAGAGACACAAGGTCGCGTGACTCCAAGCTCCTGCTCCAACTTCATGCCCTCATGCCCGTGTAACGGGAATACGCAGATTCACTTGTCTATCAAGTGTAACCGTACTGGAGGGTGGAGAGGACACTACTGTCCGACCAGGGACTCTCTGTCGTCGACGTACCACATCAATGACATGAGAAAAGCATGAAGCGAGGTATCAACAGAGTCATCCTTGCTATAAAAGCGGCGCGGGTATGGGAGAGAGTTCCACTCTGAAAGCTCAATTAATACTCGGTAATGCTGGTGCTGCCCACTTCGGTTGCTCTGGCCCCTTTTCTCCACTGACCATGGCGAAGTGGGCGCGGCGTGAGGGGATTGCATCCGTAACAGAGGCGAGTTTGATAATGTGGCAATGTGGTTACCCGAGGTCAAGGGACGTGTGGAAAGTCTACTTTTTCTTCTCCAGATGTAGAGAAGCGGATGCGGATGAAGATTCAGAGATTGGTCTTGTTCTGTTCCTGGTGCGTGAAGACACGCGAGCATTGCATGACATCTCGGTAGCGAGTCAACGTGGGGTGTACCTCCAAAGCGTTTTCTGCCACACCTGCTAAAAAAAAATACAAAGTACCTCTAGCCTGTTCGCGATGTGGGACGGGTTCTACTTACCAAAAGACCCCGCCAACTCGCGTGGGAACACTAACTCATAAGCTTACGGCTGTTTTTGTGGGGGGCGGGGATTGTCCGATCGACATGTGCTGATATAGCCAGATAGCAGCAAGTACCTCGTACAGTAGAGATACATATCACTCGCCTGACTCGATTTTCTTTCTACGTCAAATGTGCTTGAGAGCCGAAGGAGGCTTCGGCCATGACTTCGCCAATGGTACCTCGCCGCCAGTCCTTGAATTTCCTGGCGGGCAAGCGATGCTCGAACATGACGTCGATCTCTGCGGCGGTGCGTTCCTTCATTTCGGGCACGAAGCACCAGGTCAGGACCCAGGCGATGGCTGAGAATCCGGCGATGATGAACCCGGCCTTTGCTCGAAGGTTGCCCTGGTCGACGTTGTACACGTAGGGGAGGCTGATCCCGAAGACTCCTTGTGCGAGCGCGCCCGAAAACCATCCGAGGCCTTGGGTCTTTGCGCGGAGTCGAAGGGACGATGTCTCGGCGCTGACAACGAACGAGACTGGCCAGATGCCGACCCCGACGACCACGATGACCACCATCATGGTGACTGCGGTGTACCTGCGCAGAGGAAGATTAGCGGGTTCGTGCTCGTCAACCCAAGATGAGGAGAGAATTTCTCATACCATATCACGACGACACCATCAAAGCAGCCAGCAATCCCCATGCCCAGCCAGAGGATGGTGCTTCCAACCAGGGTCGTCATCCCGAGCACCCTCCGTCCGACTTTTGTGATCACCCACATGCTGACAATATTGGCGAGCAACCCCAGGCCAACGCCGAGCTGGAGGAACAAGAGAGCATTGTCTGCACTCATGCCGACGACCTGGATGAAATAGCTGGCGTCGGCGAGCAAGGACAGTCCAAAGAACTGAGGCAGCGTGTTTGCGAAGATGACAATCAGCGTGCGCCGTCTGTTTGTGCCCCGGAAGCATTCCGCGTATGTTGCCCGATCCTGCCTTTTGGCCTGTTCTTCCTCTTTTTGCAACAAGTATACCAGGTTGTCGATATTCTTTTGCGTGTCGGTCCTCGAACTGTCGAGCCGCCGCTGCGCTTGGACAGCCTTGTCGTATTTCCGCTTGCGAAGCAGGTAGGTGGGACTCTCTGGCAGCAGCAGAGCCAGGATTAAAGGGACAGCAGAAAACGGCCACTGCGCAATCATGGGCGTGGTGTAGGGTCGGTCGTCGGGATAGTTCAAGGATGTATAGACGACGACCGCGCCGATCAATTGTCCGAGCAGCGTGAAGACGGGGAAGAAGGCCATGACTGATCCCCTCAGCTTTGGCGGTAGGATTTCTGAAAGATACGTCTGCGTGGTACACAAGAGAGCTCCGACAGCCAACCCCTGAATGAGTTTGGCCGCGAGAAAGGTGCCCCGCCGCGAGTCCAACGCATCGGGGAAATGCGAGCAGTATATGATGGCCACTGCTCCGGCTGACAAGAAGCTTCCCAGAGCGAGTGTCGGACGTCGCCCAATACGATCCTGGAGCCAGCCAGCGATGATGCTTCCAATCATAATACCAATCGGGCTGACAGCGTTCCAGAGTCCCATCCACATCGACGGGATGATGTGGCGGTTATTCAATTCTCGGCCATAGTCTTCTCTAAGAACGATCCTATTAGGCTCTGAGTTTGATATCGTCGAGGCAAACTCACTGAAACGCTGGGATAGCCGAGACATTGCCCACTATCGAAGTGTCAAACCCATACAGCAAGATGCTGGATGTCAAACCCAAGGAATATCCCAGGACCTTGGGCCATTTCCTGATGGACTTCCACAGTGTTGGCTCATCGTCCAAGACCGACTGCTCGGTTGTCTGGAGCGAGAGGTCGAGACTCGGAGTCAAGATGGAAGGGTTCTTGTCAGCCATGGCACTTCTGTCTGTGGAGGCCATGTGGGCGAGCGGAGTGGTAGACAATGTTTTGGCACGAACATGTTTCCTTTAAATCCTACACCGAAGTCCGACCCCGCAGTGCGATGTGGTGGCAGTTCCACGCGCCAAACCCCAGCATGGAGGTCGAACCAAGAAGGATCCGGGGGGCGGCATATTGAAGCTTGTCTGACACCACCAGATCTTTGGTTGATCTTTTGCCAGACAGTTTCATGTCTCAATGACAGATCGGCGCAGGGTGGTGTTCAGAGAGTGACATGTCCAAAACAGGAAGTTCGTTTCGCTTCGCTACCAATCAATCACTTTTCAGCTCCCCCTTTCCGGGGTCATGTTCTTGCAATGCCAAGGATGCTAGAACTAGAATGCCAAGCTAAACTCTTGGCGTCCATGTGATTGACAGACTGACTGCGAGTGACACGAAGGAGCAGGTCGAGCCCAAGGGATTTCACCGACTAGCGCCTTGGTGCGACAGTGTCAAGATCACCAATAACCACTGCATTTGATTTCATCGGTGTCCGAGGGAGGGAGTTGATCCTGTCATTGACCCGTTTCCTACATTTGGCACAAGCCTGCCACTTTGAGGGCCTGACACGATGGCGTAAGACAGGAGACAAATACTGATGAGAGGTCAGGCCTGACTTGTCCTACTGGTGCTACCGAGAACTGACTTGTGCAACCACAGCATCTACCGGGACAACCCTCGCCACTCTCCCGACCAAAGGATTCAAGGGCTCTAATGCTTGTCTTCACCTTCGTCGTAATGTCCTGACGGATCGTCCTTCAATGAAGGGTCCAGAACCACCCGCGGATCGTCACTTTCCACCCAACCACAGAATGGCTGGCTCAGCTTGTAACCCATGAGTTGTTGAATATGAACAGGCATCTTGAGCACCACATCCTTTGGAATGGCCAAATACTCTGAGCACACATATTAGCTCGTATCACGGGTCTAGCCAGGGCAAAATCGATGCTATCGTCAAAAGGGAAGGGAACTCACGGTTTTCTTCCTGCCGCAACCAGCCCTTGGTCATGAAACAACTGGAATCCTCAACCCTTTGCCTTTTATGCGATTAGGGGCACACTCTCTCTTACCTGAATAGCAGTCGCTCTTGGTCTGTCGTCTTGTTGGCAGATCCACCATGATAACATGAACTCAACATCATGAAAGCATCCTGCGTTACACTATCAGTACTTCATTGCTGGTATGCTAAAGCGCACTCACTCCTGGTTCCAACTCTGCATGTACAGCAAGCTCATCCTGGGGAGGTCGGTCTTTGGACCAGAGATGACTGCCAGGGATGAATCTTGTCGCACCATTCTCCCGAGTCGCGGGTTTGCCAGCAACGAACCAGCCAATGCCGACATCACGGTCATAATTGTCGGGATATACAGCGACTTCTGCTTCATAGGTTTGATGACACCAACTGTCCCTGTGTAGAGGTTGATCCCAGGCCCCTGGTCCGATGGAGAAGCAAATTGAGTTGTTGAGTTGTGGATCTGACGTTGCGAAGATTTTCTTTTGTCCACTCCAATACCAGTTCTTGGTTGTCAAGAACTCCTTGCACACAGCCTGGTAAAGCGGATGGTTGATGATATGCTCGGCACAGATTGGACTCTTGCCAATCATACCTTCGACCCTCCGAGTTTGGATCGGAAAGAAGTCTCCCTCCCAAACGACATCCGCCTCGATGTGTGGCCGCAACTCTCTTTCCACCTGGGCGAGGATTCCCTTATCAACGGCTCCTTTGACCCTGCATCCACCACTGACTTTCAGGGCCTTGACTATGTCTGCTGGGTCGGCATCTGCTTCGAAGGTGAGCACGGGTGGAAGACTTTCTGCCTTGATAGGGAGAAAGGCACATTCCGCCTCTGTAGTTGTCACTGTTGTGGTCGCCATCCTTCAGTGTTACTTTCAATGTTTTCAAACCCATCCCCATGCCTTCGCATGCCGGTATATAACAGACTGGATTCTGCTACCGACATGCGTTCCCAAATGGGAAATTGTGGTTACCAGGGTCCTTATCTCAAAGGCTGGCTGGACTCGGTCATCTCCACAATCTCACTTGCCCAATTGGGCGTTATCGCTCGTGGCTGGTTATTCCACCCTTCAAGGTTTAGGGGCTTTTCGGGTTGGACCACTCATTGACTGAGCCTACTGTTAGGTTCTCTTGTCAACCTATCATGAGAGTCTAGACTTGACGACATTTATCTCTTCCGCCTAGAGAGGCAAGCGAGACTATCCTAAGCTTATCACGGCGACATGTACATTCATATGGACGAGCAGATACATATCAGGGGAGGAGATTCATTGCCCTGTAGACAACGACATCTCTTTCCATTCCTCCAGATCAAACAGTGTTACAAGGTGCCTCACCATGGAGACCACGTCCACCGCAGCGGCACCAAAAGATGTTCAGATCGACATTGATGACCTCGAGTTGCAGGCTCAGGGTTATACCCGGGCTATGCCTCGACGATTCTCCCTCCTCTCCCTCATATCGATGTCTTATGCCCTACTCGCAACCTGGAATGGATTCGGCAGTGCTTTCGGCACCGGCTTCATTGAGGCATCTTCGGCCGGTTCCATTTGGACCCTCACCGTCGCTGCGGCCATGACTGCAGTCACAGGAATTGGCATGGCCGAGCTGTCTAGCGCTTTTCCTGTGGCAGGCGCCCAATATTACTGGTCCTTTGTGGTTTCCACGCCCGAATGGGGCCCGTTTGCCTCATACATGTAAGTCGACAACCTCCCTGTGTTGGCTCTTGCTAAAGATGGTCAGTTCTGCGGGAATCAGCACCTTGGGATGGTGGTTGGGTCTTGCCAGCGTGACAAACTTCATTGCAGCAATGATTACTGGGATTGCTGTCCTCAACCATCCAGGCTATGTCATTGAAAGATGGCATATCTGGTTAGTTTTTGTGGTGGTGACGTGGTGCGCCGTCGCGATGAACGTCTTCGCGACAAAGTGGCTTCCCATGTGGAACAAGTTTATCTGTAAGGCTTCATCTTCCGAGCGCGGACTCATACACTGATATCCTTCGAACATCTAGTGTACTTCTCAGCGACTGCACTTTCAGTAACAATGATCACCATCTTGGCGTGTGCAGCACCAAATTTTCAGTCCGCCAAATTTGTCTTCAGTGACACGACCAATTCAACAGGTTGGCCGAACGACGGGCTAGCCTTCCTATTTGGGATAGTGAATGCTCTATATGGCTTCCTGGGAGTCGATTGCGGAGCGCATTTGTGAGTCTTTGTAACTCTGGGCATCCTGTGGACATCAGGGTTTGTTGGTTGTGATTGCTGACCAGCATCTGCAGATGTGAAGAAATCCCAAATCCGACGGTTAACGTGCCGAAAGTCATTGTGAGGAAGTTCCCCGGGCTGTAATGGATGCTAGCTGACTGCTTCAGATGTATCCGGTTGCAATGGGATTTATCACTGGTGGGCTTCTCGTCTTAAGTAATGGATCCTCATGCTGACCAGAGCCAGCCTTCCCATATGCGATCTCACTGTCATTTGTGATTACAGACTTTGACACTGTTATTTCGACCCCCACTGGCCTTCCTTTGATCGAAGTCTACTATCAAGCTACTGGTAGCAAAGCCGGCACCTCAGTCCTCATGGTGGCATTCGCGATTTGCTTTTTCGGCTGTGCTACTGCAAATGTCACCAGCGCAAGTCGACAAATGTGGTCAGCATCCAGAGACAACTGCTTCCCTCTGTCAAGGTACTGGAAACAGGTCCACCCCCGGTGGCAGATGCCATTAAATGCAGCATGCCTGCAAGGAACTCTGGTCTCGGTGAGTTATAAGCCAGCAAGCAGTTGCTCTCTTACTGACTATGGGTCCAGCTGTACGGCCTGATCTTTTTAGGTTCCTCGGCTGCATTTTCTTCCATGGTTGGGGCATGCATCGTCTTCATGACCACATCATACGTGATTCCTCAAGGGATTCTGGCCTGGCGTGGACGTGATAAGATTCTCCCACCAAGAGCACTGGATCTTGGAAAGTATGGTCTTCCACTTAATGTACTCGCTTGTGTCTGGGTGGTCTTCATCGACATCATCTACTGTATTCCTGTTTCCTACCCCGTTACACTCGAGAACATGAATTGGATCAGGTAAGAAGCGCCAACAAAACTCAGCCATGACACTGTTGACAAGACTCTAGCGTGGTGACGGTCGGCCTGGTTTCGTTTCTTCTAGTTGCCTGGTTTGTAAACCAGAGACACGTCTTCAAAGGGCCGAAGATCAACTTTGAACTTCTTCAGGCTGCTCGACATGATGAGCTGCTCGGCCACCGAACGATTGATGGGGTTGCCGTTGGTGACGATAACGCCGTCATTGAAGCACTTCGACGGCGCTCGCTAAATGAAACCAAGAAGGTATAGATGCCAACGGCGAGCCGCAGAGGAATGTTTGGGTCGATGATGGGAACTCTTTTTAGTAGAGAAAATAGTGCCAGGCTGGTATACGCAGGACTAGATATCTCAGACATAGACGGGGTTGTTAATAATATCTCGTTTCGAATAGGTCCATAATCTTTGCTTTGATATCTTTGAAATGTAGTTCGTCCGGGCAGTTTCTCGGCTGAACAGCGCCACGACGGCCATTGGAGACGCCGTCGCCATATTAAGTTTCCCCAATTGGATTCGATATCCACCATTTCTTTCCCTCTTCCTCCCCTTCTCTGCATAAAGTCGACCATTTGCACCTCTGCGTATTTATCACACTGATATCTACCGGATAAAAAGATCCTGAGTGCTATCGCCGCGAAATGTGTCACAATTGATGCTGCACACAGAAATTCCATCATGACTACCTCCTTATCTCCTTATCGCCAAACTTCGTCCACGTCCAAGATACGCCGAACAAACTCTCTGGGCTTTGCCAAATCTAATTGTCATACTTGCGAGTCAATCGGCTTGCACTGTGATAGACAGAGGCCGCGATGCACGACTTGCCAGCGATCTGGGCGGTTGTGTCAAGGGTATTCCATGCAGTTGACATGGCAGCACAACCACTCCACCACTGATAAGCCTCCAAAGGTGCGGGCAGCCCTGTCCCAAAGGAAGAGTGGCACAGCAACATCGTCTTTGGACGAAGGCGACTTGAATCACGAATCCCCCCATGATCACAAAGAGGTATCGTCGTCCAGCCAACCCCGGCAGTACATGTTCGTTGTTGGGCGACCGACCAAAAGGCGAAAGCGCGAACATGTCCGAGAGAGCGGAATGACACGAAAAGCGTCCTGTGACAGCGGCAGGAGCACACGTAGTGACGAGCTGGAACCTCTGCCGAATCTGACCGATACGGTCCCGATCCCGCCAGTGGACACAGACTATAGTGAGGTCCGAACAGAGGTCGAGCTATATCCCCCACAACTGCCTTCTCCTCCTGATGTTACATGGCTACATGGGCAATTGGATCCGGATATGATAACCGAAGTTGAGGCTGTGGGCACTCCTGACAGCGAGAATCTGGAACAGTGTCTGCAAATCCAGCATTTTCAGGATTCGGATACCGTCTGGAGCCCTGGTTCTTTGGAGAATGTCAGTGGAACTTCGTCCGAGGCTGGACACCAGTCAGCGTCTGAACACGCACTCCAGTCCAGCCTCTTGTACATCCCCCAGGTCTGCTTTCCGACACTTCACGACAAATTTTCTGGGCTTCTTGATATGTGTATGTTCAAAGGACTCTGCGTTTTTGCGGCGGTCGCTGACTCTGATCGTTCCAGATGATCAAGAATTCTGCAATTACCCCATCACTTGCGACTTTGATGTCAACCCTTACCGTTATAGGCCGGAAACCACAAAAGGTTCACAACATCTGCTGCACGCCGTCATGGCCATGTCCTGCCACTTTAGGCTGCGATCCCCTTCCCAAGTCGCGCCACCCACGGAGGCACTGAGTCACAAGAATGCGGCGATGGTGTTATATCAAGGGGCGCTGACAGGAGCTGTCGTCTCTGGCAATGCTTTGAGCCTGCTGGACACGGCACTCGCCCTATGGCAACTCGAGGTACGTGCTCAAAGCAGCAGGAGACAAATTTGTTGTATCCCTAATCTGATGACCATGGAAACAGGCCACCATCTCGTCACTCAATATCTGGAGATCTCACTTGGCCGACGCATATCACCTTCTTGAGCTCCACGGTGGAGTGAGAGGATGGTCGATGAGCAGGAAGGCGAATGTCCAGGTCTCGATGATTCTTTGGTGAGTCCAAGCACTCCTCCCTATTTCCACCCCACGGTGCTGACCGCGCTAGGTGGGATACTATGGTATCATTACTCGCAAGGACTGAATGCGTCCTCCCGTACGTCTATCTTGAGACAGTACTGAAAACAGAAGGCCGGCAGCCCTGGACATTCTACCAATTGAATGGCTGTCCACGCGAACTGTTCGTTCCGATGACGCAACTCGCCAATCTCTCCGGTCGTTCATGGAGCAACGCGATTTCTGTCGTGGTCACGGAGATTGAGCAGTCAGTTACCAAGTACATGTATCCTGGGCAAGGCGTACAGTGCGACTCGGACGACGAAGAAGCTATGCATGTCGAACGAGATCGCTATCATTGCTGCGAGGGGTTCCGGTACGCATTGTTGATCTACATCCTGAGGGTGTTCAAATGGCCGAGAGCGGACTACCCGGCAGGGCTGCTCGCACGAATGTCGTTTCTTTCACGGGTCTGCTTCGACCACATCGCGGCATGTCGACCTACCTCGATCATCCAGAAGCAGCTCCTGTTTGCTGTCTTTATAGCGGGATCGGAAGCGCGCGACCCGACCCATCGCGAGCTCGCGGAAGAGTACTGCAGGCGGTGGTTCAGAAAATTTGGTTATCAAATGTACATGACCGTGCTGGAGGTTATGGAGGCTGTCTGGGCCAAACGAGATGCGGGAGAAGAGGACTTTTGGTGGGGAGATGAACTTGATGCGCGGCGAGCGCAAGAAGGAGATTTTGTACAGTTTTGTTTCGGGTGATTTCTGGGATCCTGGACAATTATTCAAACCCCGGACATTTGGTCGCTCGCTTGTGGTCTCCTGCCTCTTCCAAGGGCTGGTCCTGTCAGACAACGACCACCTGGACTTTCAAACTTTGGAGACACGCCCTCCACACTATCGCCGACAACAACGACACCACCACCACCACCATGCCGAAAGAGACCTTTTCCAGCTCCTGAAATTTGACTCGAAACCGTAACCACGACAAGATTTCACGTTCTGGCTGAAGATCGTCGACACTACTCCTTCGTCGGACCTTTCTCGCCGCCGCAAGTCCTCGTCCCATATCCCGTCGCATAGTCCTTGACATGACATCCGGCCGCTTCGATTTCCTTCCTGGCGCGTTCATTCTCCGTCGTGATCTGAGCACACTTGACCGCCTTGTCCCAGCCGCGCGACATGCTCCTGCCTCGGATCGGTTGCACGCAAGCTTGCCGCATGGCTAAGTGGTCTGTGACTTCGGGGGTCTCTTGAGGTGGAGTCGTTGAATTCGGGGAAGATGATGAAGATGGCGCTGTAGCACTAGCCTCTGCGTCGTCGTCGCTGCTGCTGCTGCTGCTGCTGCTGCTCGTATGAGACATTTTCGTGTCGGCCTTATTGTTGTTGTTGTTGCTGTTGTGTCGGTATTTCGGAAGAAGGGCAAGTAGACGGGAGAATCTGGGTAAGTGCATCTTTGTTAGATTCACGGACAGAACGGGTATATTGGTGTTTTGTGGGAGAAAACTCTGGAGACTCAGTGAGAGATGAAAGATCGGACAGACCTTGCGCAGGCAGTTTTGAGGTTCAGGCTTCTTAAACGGGAGGGGACGCTCTCAAGGATGTCTCGTGTGAATTTCTGTTCGACTCGACGAAAGAAAGCACTTACTTGGAAGACGATCACAGCGCGCGGACAGGTGTGAAGAGAGAGGGACGCGGCCAGGAAATCGACGACGACGGACGGACGGTGAAGATATGTTACGAGACTCAAAGGTAAACAACAACAACAAAGAGATGAGGGACGCTAGCGCAGTGAATTTGAATTGAATTCAACAGTGTTTGTGTGTGTGTGTGAGATATCGATAAGTCCTGCCGTCTTTTTCTTCTTATCATCACGGGGTCGTCTGGCAGCGACATGACTGTACTTTACCCGTCATGCTGTTGACAACGGGAGGGCAGAATACTTCTTGGGTTACTATGTATTATATGTGTAGTGCCATAACGGATGATGGACAGATAGAACCAGCCCAGAAGTCCTTGTGAGCTGGCTCGAGGATTGTCATGATATACGATTTCTGTTGGAGCATGGAGGATAAACTCACCAAGTGGCTGTCCTGTTCTAAACTGTCGACGCAATGGCAAGGCAAGGCAAGGCTGTCGCTAAGAGCCTCGTCGGTATATTAAAACTACGGGGGGAAAGACTCCTGCTTTGAGTCTAGCTGACTTGGCGAGGCCCCATCCATGTCCATCCATCATGGGTCCGTGGTCCCCCGTCCCCAATCACCAATCACCAATCGAGAAATATTTATTTACTCGTTATTATTTCCACTCCTTGCTTTTCTATCGTCAACTCTATGATCTTCCTCAAACGCACTTCAGGTCCCTTTCCGGCCAATAGCTTGTGAGCTGTTTTGGGGTTACTTACATGTGGGATATCCTTCTGTGCGCGCGCGGAAAATGGGTTTACGTGGTTTTTATCAAGACCTTGCTTGCTGCTGAACGCCGTGGCTGTGGCAAGCGGTGGCGATGTCTCCGATTCAAAAGGGTGAGGGTTTGTCTATCTATCTGTCCCTTCAGACTCAAAAATCAAGGTCCAAAGATAGATACGAACCCCGATAGGCGAGTGCACTCTCTTTCCCCCAAAGACCGCGGGGCCTTTGCCAACGTCATAAACTGCCAACAGCAGAGGGGGAAGAGCTCAGAGACTTGAGCACCAACTCGTGTGTGTGGCCTGCGAAAACGGAACCGCGGACCATGGGTGTAGCCACGCCACCAAAACATAAACCACGCCCAACGACAACAATAGAGCACCCGACATCACATCCCCGGGTTTTCGAGTTGGGTGGCGGCACAACACGCTCATGCCAGAGACACGGCCTCCGACTGGTAGTCTGATAGACTAATGAACTACTAGAGTTTCAAAAATCCTTCGTCTGCAGAGGTGATATCATAATTTCTAGGTGTCTAGATGTGGTGGATGGAAGGTATCTGAATACAAATGCGTCACAAGGAGGTGGTCAAGAAGAGGGAGAATAAATGGACGGTTGGGGCGGATGAACTTCAGACGACACACAAATCGGGAAGAGTGATTGCTATTCATTTCCATTTTCTTGGTGTATGTATATATACATACATAAATACATATACAGTAGTGTATGTCTCCAGCCTGGTGTATGCAAGCCCGATGCGTGGGGACGGCTCCTCACGTAGGAATGGAAAGTTGACCTCTCATTCATCTGTCTTGACGTTGGCGTTCTGAACCTCTCCTCTTCCTGCATAATAACATTCATCCTCTCTCTTGATAGGATACCGAATGCCGTGTGGTTGAGTGCGGCTCAATCTCTCCCCATCCGTCCTTCCCTCACGGAGCCGAAGGCATTTCTGGGGATGCCTTCATCTCTCTGTGGGTTTGTGGTGAGGACATGAGGGTACTCCTTAAAAAACGCTTTAGGCATTGGTGATTGGTGGTAGACATTGTCGTGCTATGATCCGCAATCATTTTGATTGATCGATGCCATGTCAAAGCCGCACCTGGAGAGGACGGGAGAACTGGCCCGTGAACCCTCAAGCTTCAGGTTTGTGGTCGTCGTGCTACTGTACGCGAGGGAACAGAGAGTGAGGACAGTCACGGGTACCTCTGGACCACCTTGGGGTTGTTATAGTCATCGCCCGTCGATGCCGTGAATGGTCGCCATCTCCGTCGTGTCTTTGTCCGACGCCCGAAATGGCGATGTCGGCGTCTCGCATGGCCGTGGGCAGAGTAGGTTCCATTCCAAAATGTATCCAGCCTCTCAAGACCAGCACCATTGTTGGGGACTCGTGATCATGACAAATGACAAGAGGAAGCTCTGTCGCTCGAATGATTCCCAGTAATTGGCAGCTGATGCCCGAACAAGTCCGCCCGAGACAACAGGCCCGTCAATCAACTGCATCGCTTCTTAATTCGTAAATCGTGGTTGTGAAGACGGTCGTAATCTTCGCTAGTCTTCGCTTGCGATCTTTTCGCTCACTCCTCACCGCTGCCACTCGAGCTCGAGCAGGAACTGCTGCCGGAAGTCGAACTGGCGCTCGCACTCGTGGCGCGCGTCCTTTCCCTTTCCCTTTCTTCCTTCTCCTGCCGGGCCTTAATCTTCTTCGCAGCCTTGTCGATGGCTTTCCTCCTCGACGCACTCCACTTGGACACCTCACCGGCGTAGTACAGGCGGTACGCCACATCGCTGTTCGTCATGCCAGGCTTTATCGATTCGAAGGTGTACACAGGTCCAAGTGCCGGGTCGACAGTCGGCTCCAGGACCATTTGGAGGCCCTTTTTACGGAGTTGGGGATTTAGTGATTTCATTTTTGTGTGTTTAGATGTACAAGCTGAACCAGGAGAAGTGTAGCTTCACCGTGGAAGAATGTGGGCATCTATTATACCTCAATGCACGGCTCTCACGTGACCGGTAGAGTATCCGCGAGATGCCGAGTCTGCGCCGAAACCACAGAAATTTCTCGCCTGGTTGAACTAGCAAGGATCATGGCGCCCCCTTTTGAGCGACTTAACGCCACAGACTCGATCGCGGAAGCAATTTAAATCACATTTGTGTATAATGTATCTGGACACGATCAGCTGATATCATTTCACCTGCGTGCCCAACGTACCATATATGAATACTATAGTCTAATTTTCGCTCCCAATCCCTTTCCTTCATACCAGAGCTTCTCCTGCCACTTACCTATTTTTATGCCAACATCCGCTTTTGCATCCAATTTCAGAGTGCCCCCTAGCGCATCCCTGATTGTGCCCAGGGCGTTACCGCCCCATTCGACGGGCAGCTTTGGGGTGAGATTCTCTCCGGGCTCGATCGCGAAAGGGTAATTCCATTCGATCGTTCCGACCTCTGACCCATTGTACGAGGCAGCTGCTGCAATATTGGTGACATAAAAGGCGAGCGGCGACACCAAAATGAATGTTGCGGTCGACGAAAAGATATGCATCTGCTTCCGTCAGCCAAATTCTGTAGATGTGAAATAACGTACCGTAGCTTCTCGCAGAGGATGCGACACCATATGTGGAGCTGGTACTGTCATCTCCACGCCAGGATCAGGAAAATTCGGTATAGAACCAGCATGGGTCTTGATCGTCAGACTCGTATTATAGCCCGAGATATACTGGGAAAGCCACTCTCTCCCGATTTTGCCGACTTCCCATGAAGCATTTGCTGTAAGGTTGTTGGGACCGGGCACGACTTGTTGCGAAGTCGCCCATGCATAGCCGACGCGAGTGTTGTTGACCCAAATACTGACATTGCAGTAGGGAATCTTGGCCGAATAATCCGTGGGATTCGTCACATTAACCCTTGCCTGCAGAGTTAATGAGGTTTCCGACGTGGCAACGACTTCCATACCCTTTATTTCTGGCATCTGAAAATCCCCAGCTCGAAGCGGATCGATGAAGATTGCGCCCTCTGCCGGGATTCTTCGGACTACAAATTCCCCCAGAGCTGTATGAGTGTTGACGTCAACAGTTGCATGCACTGTAAGGGAAGCCCCTTTTCCGAATATCAACGCTTGAACTACTTGGGAGAATAGAGCCTGGTTCTTGATGTCAAGTGGTGCATCCTTGACAATGGACTGGATCAACAGGTCATCGTCGACCTGCGTCGCATTCGCTGCTTGCCATTTGGAGAGATCAAGGTTCCCAAGAAGCTCCCCTTTGTAGAAGACGTCAGCATCTGCCCTGACTCTATCAACGTCCAAATTGACGTTCATTTCAGCAGGTAGGCCAATCAAAACTTTGACAACGGCTGATATCTCGGGGTGTGAGTCTGTCATAGGATCCGGTAAAGCAAAGTGGACATCCGTCAAAGTGAAGTTTTTGATAAGATTGTCAAAAGGATGACCTGGAAGCGTGAACGGAACCATCGTACCCTGTAATATCCTTCCTATCCATTCTGGGGTGTTTTCGTCTTGTTGCCCTCCGCGAATGTAGACAGTGGTATCTCGGCCAGCGAGGTAGTCGGCAACCAGACTGTCCAAAGGCGATGATTTTGAGCCAGGACACACTGACGTCAGAGATGTAGGTAACTGCTTCACCAAGCCGATCACACTTGCGCTGATGTTTTGCTTTGGTAGGATGTGGATGACATCTGTCTTGGCTGTTCCGAATAGAAGGTAATTGTCGGAGCAATCTGGCAAAAGAACCTCGAACGCTAGCGGCGGTACATCGAATTTCACAGGGTATTGATTCATGGCAGAAACGATGGCCATGGCCTTGACACCTTCGGGATGTCCAGGCATGCCATACTCGGCAAATCGGAGTTGTTGGATATCGGGCTTTGGAACCGCCGGCACATCCTGGCCCTTGAATTGCAGAGTTTGCGAAATGGTTTGTTTGCCCAGCTTGATCAATCCACTTTGTAGAGAGACAGTTGCCATGGCATTGACAGTGATTTCATGCAGTTTTCTATCCAGGAAATCCTTGGCGACTCTTTGAATCCCGTCAACATCGCCCGGCTCCAGATCAGCAAAGAAATCGAGATGATTGAATCGACGGTTTCGGATGTTGAGACGAATAGGGGGGATAGTGACGGTCCCTAACAAGACATTGTCATACGCAGGAAGGTAGACATTGACCTCTGACTCTTCACTCTTGACTTCCTTTGCCAGCCATGTCCCGAATCTGCCGAGATTCCTCGTTGCCTTGTTGCGGACTCTTGAAGCATCCATATAGAAATCTCCTTGCACCCTAGCACGGATACCGAGGGAGGTGAAGGAGTCGATGGAAAGGTTGGTGGGCTCAAAAACGACGCCTTCTTTCGCATATTCTTCAATTGTAGATGGTAGAGTGAGAGCAAAGCACACTGCGACTACCACCAGGCATAGAATAGTGAGGGCGATTATGCTAGGCCATCTCCGCTGCTTCTTGGGCTTGGGAGATTCCGGCGATTCGGACAACGGAGAGTGTACATCACCATTGGCGTGGTTGGAGTAACTCGATCGAGTGTCATCTTCAGGGCCAGAGAGGAGAGGAGTGCGTTCCGAGGGGGCCGGCGAGGTCTGAGGTGAGGCCATGATGAGCAGGCGGAGAGCTGCTCCGTGAAGGAGGTTTTAAATCATGGATAGGGAGCGTGGGAGAATAACAACAACAGTAGAAGTAGTAGCGCTCGAAGTGGTGAGACCCGAAGAAAGTGGTGACGAACACGAAAGATGCAACTCGTCCTGACAATTGGCGCTCCACGATCTGCAAGGAACCGAGCTTGGACGGGCTAGTGAAGCTCCAGTAGCGGAGCAAGACCGTTTGATGTTTTGCGGGGCGAACACGCAGGTGGAAAGTCTCCCGAAAAGTCCCGTGGCATTTTCTATCTCAATTCCCGCAGTCTTGTAGACAACTTCTGGATATCACCAGGGGTGGTCTTGCAGCATCCACCCACAATGATTCCTTTCCATTTATTCCTCTCTTTAACCTCTGTTATGATCCCATATACTTGCTGATCCCACGGCAATTGGCCTTTGTCGTTGCCCACCCATTGCTGTAACCCAGTATCGTACACTTTACCACCAGCGCCATCGGGGTAGATGATCAGCCGTGGAAGCTCTAGAGCATGCGCATTTGCGGCATATTCGAATCTCTTGATCAAGTCCCTAATCCTGGAGACCTTGGTACAGTTGATGCCGATTGCGTACGGCGTTCGATCTCCTGCCAGCATGGTCTTGACCAACTCCTCGACGCCTGTTCCGTCTGGTAATTTCTCGTCACTATCTGGGAAGACGCAGGAGATCCAATATTCTTTGTCGTCCACTCTTTGCATCATCCTTCTCGCCGCTCTGACTTCATCGATTCTCGGCAATGTTTCAATTGCGACCAGATCAATGTCGCTCCATTCTTCGCTATCCACAAAGCACAAGATCCTTTCGAGGTGGAAGTTGAGAAGATCGTCTTGGGTCATGTCCCCGTATTTTCCGGTGTATTCAGTACTAGGAACCATGGTAGCGCCGTACGCACCCAAGCTCAGAGCTACCAAGCCAAGTCGCCCATTAAACGCTTCTCGTGCAATTCTAACCGCGGAGAGCATGTATCTCCTCGCCTCTTCTCGACCAATGCCGTGTTCGTGGATAACCCGAGTATTCTTGAAGCCGTAGAAACTGGCTTGATAGGTGGCAGTAAGAATAATTTCAGCCCCAGCATTTGCAAATTCACGCTGGACCGCCCTGAGAATCTCAACGTTGTTGATGAGCAGATGGGATGACCATAGAGGTGTTGCAGACGAAAATCTTATACCTTGCTCATCTTCAAGTGTGGTGCCCAACCCGCCATCCAGAAGGAGGATTGGCTTTTGCAACAAGGAAGAAGTCATTTCTCTAGGACGTGAAAGTGGATTTGAAGTAACATCACCAAAGGAACTTTGTGGTCAGGATCTGGCAAGACAGAGTACAAAACATGTGCATACACTCAAGTGGAGGAAGTTTCCCCCTCCCGGGGATCGACGAACCAAAACTCTCAAACTGCGGAGCACGACGCCACATCTTCAATACCTGCATCGCAATGTTTTTCTCCCCGGCGTGTGACTCGCAAAAGAAAATATTTGCTTGAGGAGTCAAACGCCGCCTTCATCTTCAAAAAAGTCTCCTCCAGGTTAGCATTGCTGGCAATGTGTCCTACCCTTCGTTAATACCAGCCATCGGACCACCAACGTCATGGCAGCGCTACGTCCCTTTCAACTCCCTCTGCGCCAATATGGTCGCTCACTCTCTACCTCTACAAAGCCCAGTCCCCGTCACCTCCTGTCCATATCCGAGCTCACACCGACCGAATTAAGCACGCTCGTGAACAACGCAACAACCTACAAGTCATCCGCCCTGCAGCCAACATGGCCCAAGCGCACCGCCCTCTCCAATCGGACCATTGCAATGCTCTTCTCCAAGCGCTCGACGCGGACAAGAATCTCAACTGAGGGGGCTGTGGTGGCAATGGGCGGCCATCCGATGTTCCTTGGCAAGGATGATATACAGCTTGGTGTGAATGAGTCACTATACGATACCTCGGTGGTGATATCGAGCATGGTCGCTGGGATAGTCGCACGAGTCGGTCCACACGCAGACATCGCAAACCTCGCAAAGGACAGTACTGTGCCAGTCATAAATGCGCTGTGTGATACGTATCATCCCATGCAAATCATTGCCGACTTTGCAACTTTGACACAGACCTTCTCTACACCGGCAGAGAAACTACAAGGATTGAAGATCGCCTGGGTAGGGGACGCGAACAATGTGTTGTATGATATGTGCATTGGGGCAAGAAAATTGGGCATCGAAATGGCGGTAGCCTCCCCAGAGGGCTACAGTATTCCACAGAACATCAAAAAAGAAATTGAGGCCGCGGGACCCGGCACCCTTTTTGAGACAACTACGCCCGAGGAAGCCGTCAAGGGGGCCAATGTCATCGTCACCGATACATGGATTTCCATGGGGCAGGAATCTGAGAAGCAAAAACGCTTGACCGCATTTGAGGGCTATCAAGTGACAGAACAGATGGCTCGTAAAGGAGGGGCGGCGCAGGATTGGAAGTTTATGCATTGCCTCCCACGGCACCCGGAGGAAGTTAGCGATGAAGTCTTCTATGGGCCGCGATCCCTGGTTTTCCCAGAGGCACAAAACAGGCTCTGGTCGGCGATTGCCACGTTGGAGGCGTTTGTGGTGAACAAGGGAGAAGTGAAAAGGGCAGAGTAGTAATAGATGTTGAGCGAGTTCTTTGATGTGTCATGTTTGTTACACGATCAGCCTACGCCATCCGCCAGCTGGAGAGACCATGGATAATAGTATACCATCCCAGGTCTACAAGGAGGCGGGGACATTTCAATACACCGACTTACCAGAGGGGTTTTCTCAATTATAGAGCCAAATGAAGGCTTGTGATTGGACCCGCTGCTTGGGAAGCACATGCCTCGGTCTTCAAACTACACGCATCATTTCCCGACCTCCGACGTCGACATGATCTGCTTCTCTCATTCCACGAACACCAAGCTCCGCCTGCTGACCGAACGGTGCCCAGCTTCTTCCTCGCTGGCGGTGAGCCATAAGAAACTGTAACTCCTGGCTCTCGAAGAGTCTCGACCACAGTCACAAGGATAAAAGAATAGACCTCATGGAAGTCTGTCTCCCAACCCACCCTCCTCTCTCCCCATCTCTCTACAGCAATCCTCACCCACTTCACCGTGTCCCTCTCGTTGTGCCATTGCGCCTTGCCCTTCAGTAACACACACTCAAGATATTGACTATCAAATGACACAGTCCCCTTCTTCGCCTCTGAGTCGCTCCTCGTCCTTCGCCCCGGGCCCGCATCGCCGCTCTCATCCAAACCTCCAACACTTGTCCCTCGCGCCCTTGACCCCCAGATACCCAATCGATCCGGCCGACTACGCTGCCTACTTCGACCCAGCGACATCGGAGCTACACACCTCCGCATCCATCTCCCATATCGCGAGCTTGCCGTCCCCTGGTGGAATTCTGTCGAGGAGCGGTTCCGCAGCACAGTCGCGGGCGCAGTCGCGAGCCAGTTCCCGGACGCGACTGAACCAGAAAAAAAAGAACCGATCCTTCGTGACGACTCAAAACCCATTACCTCTCACAGATGGGACCACTAGCATCCCTCCGCCTTCTGGGGCGCTGACGAGTGAAGGTCTCGGTCACAAATCCATCACCCGTCTCTCCGCCCTGACGAACCTCTCACCGCACCAGACACACTCTCCGGGAGAGTACTCGGGCAGCCGGTCCCTACACAAAGCCGATTCTTCGTGGCTTATTCAGACAGGTCTTACGTTGACCGAAGGCTCGAGAGAATCGAAGGGCCAGTCATGGATATTCAAGCGTGACTCTTCCACCTCCTTGGCTACACCGATTGACGAACGCCCGCCGATGACGGTGAGATCCGGCAGAGCAACGCCGAGCGGCAACCTCAGTCGACGAGGCAGTTTCCAAAGACGCAGCAAGAGATCCTTGGCCATGACCCCCGTTCCGGCCACGACGCCAATGATCGAAGTAGACACGGGCCCGGACTGGGCCGACGAGCAGACACAGGCGGAGATTGCGGCACAGATGGACGCAGACTTTGCAGATGAACTGGACGATGGCGACCCATACGGCATGTTGGATTTCGAGGCTCAATTCGACAGCGACGATGAGGAGGAACTACGGAAATCTATCAAGGGTTACAGACTAGGGCGATGGATGGACGGGCTTGTGGATGTCTTTTTGCAACTAGAAGACGACTTTTCCACTCCTCAGCCCGACCTGGAGGCCGCAAGGCCCAAGACCGGTCCCGAAATTGCTACATCTACTGCTCCGCCAGCCAAAGACGCCGACCACCCTGGGCCGAGTGTCCGGTTCGAGGACTCGGTCGAGCCGCCTCCAGAAAGACCAAAAGGTGTCTGGGACGACGTTGCCTGGTTTGGCCGCATGCTGGCGAGGACCGTGCGGTCTTAGGATGACTCGATTAACGCGAAAATGTAATTTTGTCTCCCGCTCCAAACAATGTCCATTTTATACCTCTCCTGCTCTTTTGTTTGTCCAGCAATACACTGGGTCTCCCGCCCCAACTTTCGTGCGCTTTTTCTCTTCTAGTTGTTTTCCTCGCTCAGATGACCACATAACCACACTACAACAGGACAACACGACCACACTCCAGACAATACACACTCACGCACACACATCCCCCTCTTTCCTAGCTAGGTATCACTGACGAGAATAGACCCTCTTGCCGCCGAATATTTGTTCAGTCCGCACCCCCCCAGCAAGAAGGTTTAATAATCTTCGCTGTGCCATGCCACAAGGCGAGAGTGTATGTCGAATGCACGGTCGCAACTCCGCTCAAGGGCCAAAAGACGACAGAAAGGGGAAGGTAGGTTGAGAAGGACGGAAATAAATCGGTCGAGGTGGAAGTGGTAAAGGGAGATTCCAGAATGATTGCTCACACTGGGAAAAAAAAGGGGGAGGAGAGGGCTGGGAGTAGAGAAAGGGACAAGAATGATAATGTAGATAGATACGCCAGCCATGCAGCCAGATAGAATCATTTTGATCGTGACGTGAAACCCCTATTTGCTCATGAAGCCTCTGTCCAAGCCGTGGCTTGAAGCACAGCTACCTCCAATGTCAGCACATGACTATGTATCTGGCAGGGTCGAAGTGTGGGAGAAGCGGTGGTCTTGCACTTCGATAACGCCACTGCCGCCACTCATATTGGCTTGTCTTACTGCCTTCGACAAGCCCAATGCTCATGACCCGGTGTCCATCATCACCCTCGAGCTTCGTTGATCTAATCCGAGTCGTCAAGAACCGCTACAGTGCTGCAGATCCTCTTCACCGGCCGCTCGCCGAGGAAGTTGACCTCATCCTCATCATTGTGGCCACTATCTCGATTTCTCTTGAGTTCAGCGAGCCGAGCAAGATTGGCGTCGGCATTTTCTTTCTTGAACTTGATCCTCTGTGCCTCTTGCGCTGCCTGGGAACTGGAGTAAGTAACCTCCTGGGGCCATCCGCGTGCTCTGACATACCTTGAGTCGCCGGGCCAATTCCTTGAGTTCATCTGGCGACATAGTCTCAACATCTCTTTCCTCCAACGGCTGAGGCATTTCAGGTCGTTCGAGAATGCCAACGGCTTGCAAAGCTTCTATTGGGAAATCAGTCCTGTAATGCTCTCTCAGCGTTAAAGTCATACCTTTGCTGCGGTATTTGAAAACGAATACTGCATATGGCTTGTTCTCGATGTTGGCACCATGACGCAAAATGGAGTTCCGACATGGCTGGGGAGGATCGAGACTGCGGAGCACATTATTATTTGTCTCTCCAGACCTTTTCAGTTTCCGTACCTCGCTCGCATATCGATTGCTGCGCCTTTGATGGCCTTCTCGGACACTGGCCCCGTGGCAAAATCTTTTACCCTCACTAGCGTACCGTCCATGCCTATGTCACGCCGCTTCCAAACTTCCACCTTGATAGAACCAAGATTCTGGTATCTTTCTTTGTCTTCTTGCCTGTAGTCATGGTCGACTAGAGCAATCAGTAAGCAACCCTAATTGCGTGGTCGATTGACATACTCGACGAAAGATTGTTCCAACGAAATCGACGGAGTTGCTGGCCGCAACCAGATGAAGCTGTTTCTTTGACTCCGTGGATCCTGGAGCTCCACACATCAAGCTCCTGGTAGCATTCCTTGTGACAACATCTTCCTCGAAATCGGGTTCCATCGATGTTGACGCAGAATGTTAGGAGATCAGCTCCGCCGAAGCGGAATCCCTCTCGAATTTTGCATTCGATTTGAAAGTTTGCATCAGGTATACCTTGGATATATCTCACTTGAGTATCAGAGGATAAATATATTGCGTCTTCGGAAGTATCCTCGGGTGGTGGGTGATACTCTTGGATCTCCTCGTCGTCGACCACAATGGCGACTTCGACCTCTTTGATAACTGCCATTTCAGAAAGTGAGAGCTGACCTTGGTTGAAGGAATCAGATGAGGGCTAAGAGTGATGTAGATGGGGTCAACAACGCAAGAAGATGTGATAAAGCCAAAGGTGGTGCACAAGTCAAAGTTGAGAGACGATTATGATGAGACATCAAGCTGTGCATGCGCAAGTAATCATCCGGGTAAAAGGGCAGAACGAATGATAGATATAGAGACGGAAGGCATGATGAAGTGTGGTGAGTCCAAAAACTTCCACAAAATCTACGTGAAATATAACTGCGGCAGACGAAGCTGAGAGATAGGTGAGGGTCGATGTAGTTCAGAGAAGGAGTCAAGATGAAGCCTTTCCTGAATTGCGTGGTAGAGGTAAAGAAGTGAAGGTGAATCCACTTGAAGAGGAAGCGGAAGGCGGAACGGTGCGTGACCATCTCTAGCGGCGGGAGAACATGCAGCCTTGTGGTCATTGTGGCCAGCCTTGTCGCCAACCACGCCAGCCACCAGCCTATCACGCCTGAATGCTGCCCGTCAACTCAACTTTCCCATGACAACGGCCAGAACAGCAGCCAACTTGTATTTGTATGGCGTTGAAGTGTATCACTTGACCGCTTTGACGACCCGTGTGACTCCAGTGCACGTGTACCAGTCACAAACAGCATAGAAAACAAATAAACTGCGCATCCCACTTGGTTCTCTCTCTTTCCCTCTGTCCTGCTTTCCTACATACCTCTCACACCATCCCCTCCGCCTACTTGGCTATAAACACCAACGATGATGTTTTCTACAACCTCTCTCGTCCTCTCCCTCCTCCCCCTCTTCCTACAACCAAGCGTGGCATGGGGCTCCCTCGGTCACCGCACCGTCGCCTACCTGGCCTCGACGTACTTCACGCCCGAGTCCACACGCATGACGAACGACCTGCTGAACGGGCAGGACATCTCCGAAGCGGCGCTCTTCCCAGACAAGGTGCGGCACATGCCGCAGTTCGCGTACACGCGGGGGTGGCACTACATTGACGCGCAAGACTCGCCGCCGCAGCGGTGCGGGATCAACATGACGCGGGACTGCGCCGTCGAAGCCGGGTGCGTCGTCAGCGCCATCGCCAACCACACGGGCCGCGTCGCCGACCCGTCGCTGCCGCACTATCTCCGCGGCCAGAGCCTGCGCTTCATGATGCACTTCTTCGGCGACGTGCACCAGCCGCTGCACACCGAGGCCGAGGACCGCGGGGGCAATGAATACGAGGTGGCCTTTGACCGGCGGCGCACAAACCTGCACAGTGTCTGGGACACGCTCATCCCTAACAAATATGCCGGCATGGACCACGACGACGAGTTCACCGCGGCGTGGCTGTGGGCGCAGAGACTCTCTGGCGCGGATGACAGCAATGAGAGACCACTAGATGGAGAATGCCTGCACGATGCGGCAGATTGCGCGCTGTCTTGGGCCGGCGAGGCAAATGGCTATGTGTGTTCCTACGTGTTGGCTCATGACGTCCACGACCAGGACCTAGGCGGCGACTACTACGAGGGTGCCATCCCCGTCATCAACGAGATGATCCAGAAGGCTGGAAGGAGATTGGCCGCTTGGGTCAATGCCATATCTGCAAACTACAAGCCCAGCCATGCCGGTGATATCGACGTTCAGCACGCAATACAGATCCAGTGACACCCTTCTCAACAATGAGATATCTCTTGTCCGCAATGTCGGGTCCACCCCCTACAATCAAGGCTTTCGTGGGATAGACAGAGAACACTAACGATCTGTTTTGGCGTGACTCAGACTCTGGCTTGACCATTTGTCTTTCCCTGGTTATCCGCCTATAGGTTGTGAACATGGTGCTTTTTCCAAATTCCTCATCGTCTACAATATCATAGCCAACTGCGGTAATGGTGAGATCACAAAGTCAACCCCGCTAGGCAGCCACATATAAACAAAGACGAAGCAATGAGGCCGCGTGGTATTCAAGCACGGCCCGAATCCTCATTGAACTTGTGCCAAATCTGCGTCACTCGGGGCTGTGATCATAGCAAATTCTCTTCACCCCCATTGCCCCATCCCAGCCTTGTAGCGGCGGCTGATGGGACTCGAAACGTTAGTGTTACAAAAGAAACACAGCATTTGTCCTTCCCGGACCTGTAATGACCACACACGACAACCTCTTCTTTCCTCAAAGGACCTGCTCAGCCAATTGTTCGCCCTGTCGGTCAACGGCGTCCCTCACACTCCTTTGTGCAGATGTGACCAGCCCCCCATAATGATCCTCCAGTCGTCCCTTTTCTATAAAACTTCTCAGTTTGGCCTGTTCCTTTTCCATGTCCTTGCGAATGCCTTCCACTTCACTTTCAGCCAACCTATCTTGGAGACTGACGGGGAATGCGTCATAGCGCAGGAGGTCGCTGGGTGAAAATAAACGAGCCGGAGTCCCCTCAGTCTGTTCCTGCAGGAAAACATGTTGTAGAACGCGGAACAGACAGGATTGATGCATCTCTTCCTCCACCCGCTGGTCATCTTTGCCGCCAGTCTCATTCAAAGCAAGCCACTCGTCGCGGATCATCGCCCTTCTCCAGACAAGCGCACGAAGATCCTCTCGTTTCGGAGCCGGCAGGTGAGATTCATCCACAATTTTCAGAGCGAGAATAAACTCCTGACCGTTGACTTCAGGATCCTCTTCAGGAGGTCCGGTCCAGTCTTTCGCATCCATCAACGTCAGCAGGTTGACCAATTCTTCGGCGGTCAAGGGTGTCTGACGCATCAGGGTTTTTAAGAGCTGCTTCAGCTCTCTTTTCAAAGCGGGCGTCTTTGCCACGACTCGACAGGCAAAGATATCCCCAGCCAGATCGCTCGCGGCTTTCTCATCGACGGCTGCACCGACCAATCCCATGACGTGGCGGTAAACCTGCTCCTGAATGGCGATCATCGAAAGAGCATCATCGTATGCTTTCACATCCCTGTGCTTGCCGCTACCCTCGTCCGCAGCCAAGGTTGCAAGCTTACCGAGTGCCAACTCGGTCTTCTTGTTCCAAACATTGCTGGTCTCCTCCCCAGCTACCTCCTGAAGTGTCCTTGCTGCATGGTCGAAATCATCGCACGAGATAACATCGTGGATCCAGCTGAGTTTGCCGAGCTGTTGATGAGCCCTGGGAGCTATCCTGAAGAACCAGGTGAGGAATTTTTCTTTCTCTCCATCCTCCTGGCCCTTGACTAGAAGGCTTCCGCACTCCCCATCAATGAGCATCTGACTGAAAGAGGCAAAGGCCCATCCTTTGCCAAATCTACCATAGTAAGACTCGGCTCTCTCCTGCATTTCCTCGAGTTTGCGTTGATTGTCCTCAGCGAGACTTGGGTCAGCTTGAGCTTCAGCCACCAGTTGCTTGTAGTAGTCGTAGTGGAGGGTTACAAGATCTGCGTAATATTTCAACTTTTCCGCCAGCTGAATCGCCCCGGGCATGTTGAACAATGCAATAGCTTGCAGGGCTTGACCCAGTCTTTCTTGCTCCTCGCGCTCGAGGTTACTGAGTTCATCCTTCAATGCGTCGGGGTCGGTTTCATTGGCTTTTAGATGGCATTTCGCCTGAATGGCCTCCTCGCGCACCAGTCGCGAAAATAACTCGAGTTCGGTTGGTAGACGACTAGCTAATTCTTGAAGGGCCATTCGACTGGGTGCTTCATGAGGCTTTCCATCTAGATCCGTCGGCATTTTCTTCTTTTTATTTCTCCCGTGAGCAAACTCCCACCATTCGTTCAAAAACTTGCAGATGTCGTATATGAGACCCTGTCCGAATCGCAACGGCTCCGGAGTTGATGTCCAAGGATGAGGAATCTCGATCGGAAAGCCAGATACAAGTACGCCACTCTCGAAGACCTCGTCTCCAAGTCCGTAAAGAGGCGCATTGTCTTCACGAAATTTGAAGGCTGCGGAGTATGCTGCAATCCAGAGATCAACAGCTTCTTTCAAGTAGTCGGCAACCACACTGGGATCTGTTACATCCATCGGTTCAAGTTCCGGGATGCAGCTGACTAACTCAGACATAAGATGGCCGACGTTCTTAACACTGTTCACAAGCCAATGTCTAACGCGATCTTTCTCCCCCTTTTCAGGGTCAGGGTATTTTTGCCGAGACTCATGCAAAGCTCGAAGGGTGAAATCCAAGTATGACATCTCGCGGTCGGGTTGTGGGTATTTTCGTTGAATCTCTTCCTGAACCTTCCACACTGCGTGGGCAGCGGCGAGCTTTTCTGCGTTCAATAGTAATCCAAAACGCGTCAAGCGAGATACCGCGGAGGGATAGTAGTTTATCACGTGTTCGGCCAGATCGTCGAGGGCTTTGGCACGCAGTCGCATTTGCATGTCGATTGAGGGTGCTGACTTGGGAAGATGCTTGGATGAGGAAGACAAGATCTCCGAGCTGATCTCTAGAGCGGCTGCTTCAATCTCCTCAGGTGGAAATGTCTGGTTGGCATGCTTGAGGTCCAGGGGGTTTTGTTTGATGGTGCCAAAGAAAACTGCTTGTTCGATTTTGCTCTTCGCCGTGATTCGGTCTCGTTCCTCGGCCTCATCCACATCGACTTCCTCGTCATCGCGAAGACGGGAAGTTAGTTTCACCATGCCAAATCCTCGCACCCCAAAGACAAGAGACGAGTGTTTATCCGAAGCTTCAAGCGCGAAGCCAAGAACCTCGTAGATAGTCGACTCTTGGAATCGAACGCAATCTTGAAAGGGTTCAGGCAATGCCTCCCGTTCCATAAGCAATTGAGAAGATGGGGATTCCCGTATTCTGGCCAGGGAGAACAGCACGATGGCAGTCTCGAATATAACGAAAGCCACAGGTTGAGATTTCGAAACACACAGTCGAGGTCTCCAGTGGCTCGATTCTGTCGATGAAGAAGAAAAGCAATTAATCGGGTGCACCACTTTGACTTTCGCCCCTTGGTCGACGATCATCTCGATAATATGATACCTGGTTTCCTGTTCCGTTGAGCTGGAAACTAGGACTATCATTGGGGCACCATGGCTGTCTCGTCGGCTAAGGGCACTGCTCGGTCCTATCGAGAGTTCCACATCCAGAACTTTGAAGCGCATCACATCCGGCTGCGCTGATCGTAAGGCTTCCAGAATCTCGTCCTTGAAGGTGAATGAGTTCTCGAGCGAGTTGCCGACAGCCAGATTCGTATTCCAGAATTCTAGATCAGCATCCTCTGTGGCGATAACGACATCGCGTTGTCCTTTTCTTGAGCCTCCAGCTTTGATTATGGGTATCCCTTTCCTTCGATCGGAGCCGAAAACATTTCTGATGCTTCCAAATATACCTCCTGCCGCGTTCGTGTATTTGCGAAGGAACTGGACGCCAATTCCAGGCCGCCCCATCTGATCACGTATTGTCAAGTGCGCCACACGACCATGGCGGAGTGAAAGAATAAATCCCGATGGCTCTGCATTAACCAGCTCTTCAACGACTTCGCCACTCATCATCCCTGGTATCGATCCTTGGACGCTTGAAGCTTGACCAGGTATCACAGAGGAAGCGTTGGACAGGGTTTCCCAGTACACGATTTTGCCCCATTTTGCCGACACTGCGACGATGCCGGGTTCTCCGCTCGCAGATTTTGCCGTGAATGTTGCATGAGGTAGAGGGTCACCAACCGAGGCTGGAGGGAAGGGCAACTTGAAGGTGATGACATCCTTAGACGGCGGTGTTGATGCGGTTGAGTTGTAGGGCCAAATTATGGCGTCGGTATGCGTCAATGCCAAAGCGTAGCCGTATTCAGGAGAAATCACACATGAATATTGGATGTTCGGCCGATTTCTGATCTGGTCTGGGAGCGCAGGAAGCTGGGCAACGGTGTAGAAGTCGTTATTAGATAAAGTCACCCCAGCATTAGTGTTGACAGCTCGGTCGGCGCGCTTTTCTGCTTTTTTGGCTCCTCGCAAAGTCAATTCTTTTGTCGGCGCCACTATAACCGCATGTCCATTGCTCTTAACCTCAGCTGCATCCTTCCCTCCCAGATCACCAACCTTTGATTCGGCCGGGGGTTCAAAGGTGTCTCGTCGCAGGGCAGATCGTTTTCGCTTCGCTTGAGGTAACTTGAGAGAGTCTTCGGGGCCTGCTGCCTGACGTGTTCGTTTAGGACGCAGCGACTGAGTCCGCGAGGTATCTGCGGAGAACATCCTGCACTGCGGACAAGAGGCAGGCCCGACTGAAGGAAATGAGGAAGAATTAGAACGGCTGAGCCGTTTGTGTTGATGACGGCGGGAATTGTGCAATGTTATTGCCGTGCTAAACCCCGGAAGGCTCCCTTTCGCGTCCGTTTTCGCCAAGAGAAATGTAAAACCGGCGGCCATTCATTCCTCTTCGGAAGCATTCTTCGCGTCCACGTCTAGAAGAGCCACGCTGGGTTTGTCTGCCGCTTTAAGAGAAACACGTCGTTCTTCTCGTACCGAGTACTCGGTACAAGTAATGGTGTTGTTTCTGCTCCCTGCTATGTCTTCAATCTACAGTCGAGAAACCCCTTCTTTATGTGGGCGACTACCACACCTCTTCGTTACATCAGGTAGCTAACATTAGCCGTCCACCTTTTTTGGCTCCCCATGAACCTATCCAGCCCTAGACACAATCCGACGTTACAGGTCAGAAAGCTGCAATACGCGTTGTGGTGTGTCGCGCTTCATGTGGCGCGAATGGGTCGGTGAAGCCCCTCCAGTGGCCACATATCGTCCGAAGGAATCGGATGAGCATAGGACCAGCTCAGTCTTGAGATTCTTGCACCAACTAAAGATTTCTAGATCTGCGACATTGCTCGCTTCCCACGACTCCTAATGACCTACCAGCACTACGATTTGTCCTTTCGCAAGTTCCGATAATCTACGCCACATAGCATCCAAGCCTGGACGTGGTGAACTTGTACAGGCAGAAGGAGGAACATATGAGGGTCACCTCCAGATCCGAATTCGGCCTCGAAGTACGCAGTCGGTGTCCGCACGCCGACGAGTGATTCAGGTTGGTCACCATCGATTTGGGAATATAGAAGTCATCCTAGATAATACGAGTATCCTTTGGACAAATGTGTTCGTAGCTACTAGATACGCTTGGACAGCTTAGTATGCACCGTTAAAGACTAGAGAACTCCGATTTTAAAAACACGTTATGAGCCTAGATGTCAGCATTCTCTTGTAGGTCGATTGTTCGGGAAATGACACATCTACGCAGGAATCAAAGCAACGACGGTGTCCGATCCTCAGCTCGAAAAGTGTTAGCAGAACGAGTGGAAGAACTGCCAGTATGACCTGTTGTCACAATTCCCGGTGAAGGGTTTGGATTCCGGCTAAGCTAATACATGTGTGCTTGAATCATTTCTCTCCGCCCTGTTCCCAGGCCATTCATTCACTTCAGTCGGTTTGCTTGCAGAAGCAAGTGCCTGCTGCATGGTAGCACAGTATACATTCGTTCAAAGCACCTTCAAGCGCCATATATCGAGAATGACAGTCGGATCGTCATCATCTCGAACGAGTCTCGTTGATTTTGTGGTATTACAATTTCTTATCTTCATCATCATAGCTCCCTCCCAAAGTGCTGGAGTCGGTGCTCTCTTCCTTGGACAGAGTGGAGGCCTTTTCGATATCTTCGTCGGTAGGTCCGTGCAATCCCTCCTCAAAGACAGGCTCGGCGTCGACGGTTTCGAACTTGGTCTTGAAATCCCCGAGGACTTGGGTGCTGGAGTTGGAACGACGGCGAGAATTGGTGAACTTGTAGTCGTAGTCGTGGACTTCATCGCCTTCACGACCCCTGTCAACATGTCAGTGTCTCGAGCGCAGTTGACAGTCAGTTGAGGGGTAGCCATACCAATTGCCCTTGCCGCCACCTTGCTTCTTCACACCCTTTGGATCGGCGTCAACGTGGCCATGTTTAGCGAAGTAGCGAGGAAGGCGTTCTTCAGGGAGGGCGGAACCATCAGCAATGGCACTGTGGTTGCGGTCATTTCCTTTGTTGGTTCGAGTCACTTCAGTCAAGGGTTAGTCAGAGTAACTGCTGGCGGAAGAGCTGGGAAGACTTACTGATGGAGTAGAGGGCGAGGACGGATGGGATAGAGTTGGTTGAGAAGGTCGAAGTGATAGACGGAGGGTTGTGGTGATGATTTGAGACTGATAGTGAGAACAAGAGTCAGTTATATGAAGTCGGAGTTGAGGATTGGGCAACAGGGATAAGAACGACACGCGACCCTGCAAGTGAGGTCAAAGAGAGAGAAGCTCGGACCACCCCTTGTGTGTTGATCATTGATGATTGGAGAGGGGGTAGCACTTTGGAACTCACCACACAGTGCACTTCGCTTACTCTTGGGAGCAGATAGCAATACGAGTTGAAGAGTGGGTGAAGCTGGAAGTGAGAGATGGAAGAAGGTAAAAGAGGTTACGATTGACTTCTAAGCAGAAAGGTACCTTTAGTTTGGGAGAGCAATCAGTAAGTCAAGGGAAGACGAAAGCCGGACCAGTGTGGAACCTTAGAAAGCTCTAGATGGTGAGAGTGTTGTGATTGGGGAGCAGCTGGCAAAGAAAGACGCAGAGAGGCCAGCTGCTCGCATGACCTCCCTGCCTGTTCTGGCGCCTTCTTTCCCCTCGCTCCAATCGTCAGGGCGCCTTCCCCGGATTCCACATCCTTCACCTTTCCCAATGGGCTCTTTTAGCGCGGGGTTTGGGCCTTTGCTTGCCTCCACTTAAGCATCCACTTGGTACCTACAGTAGGTAAGGTGTTCATTTTCGATGCCCATTTGTCCATGAAGAAACACATAAGGCTGAGCAGAACTTCCCCCGGCAACCCCATGAGGGAATTTCCAGCAGAATACAATGGGCAAGAATTGGGGAATTTGCTAATGTGATGACCGGTGCCACCAGCGTCGATGTGAAGTGGATACTTGTACATGCGTGACCAACTACGAAAGAATATTGGGGCCTACAGGTCAAGTGATAAAAGCCACAAAATATCGCAAAATGGGCCCTCCGTGGCGGTCAACATTTCCACATTGTGTTTCAGTCAGACGTCAAGGCATTGTCGAAGTGGATTTGCCCCCTGAGACAAAGCCTCACACTCTTGTACTTGTATTACTGAGCACATAGCTAGCAAGCTTGGTACCTTGGTACCCAGGCACCCAGGCACCACCAACTGTCTCCTGCTCAAGTGGTGTGAGGGCGGAGTTTTCCGGCAGCTTGAAATCACGTGAGAGGGGTCGCTATGGGCTCTGGCTGCAGCACTGGAAATCTTGCATCAGATAGTTATCATTTCCCAAATGCGAAATGGTTTCATAGCTTCACTTGCCCCAGGCATTCAGGTACCGAGCTTCACAGAACCTCCCACGCGGGTAGGGATAGCAGGAAACAACACCCGCGGAATTATACCTTGGGTACTAGCACCACCTGTTGTATCAGTCCGCTGCAGGGCCCTTAGCGTCATAACTACCCCTCTAGCGCCAGGGCAAGTCTCGATTTCTAATCCTGGCCTTTTATCATTCATTCTTTTCCCAATTACTCTTTTACCCTCTACTACCACAGCCTCCTAGGTCCCTAATTTTCCGATTGTCGCCCATCTTGCTGTCAAAATGTCGCCCTCCGTTCTCATGGACATCTCTGACGATTTCGTCATGCCCGCCTTCAAGGCCCCGCAGTCATCGAACCGCACACTCCTCCTTTCGCCACCGTCGCTCTCGTCACATCAAGAAATACTAACTGGCCTGTTGGAAATGCACGACCGCGCCCACACCGACTTGCAGATGTTGGACAGGCTGTCTCTCGGCCTGGTTTCACTCCCTCAGTCCACGTATGATGTCATCACAATCCTTTCCGATGCAGATGGATCACGTCGTGAAAGTCAAAATCTGATCAATCGGGACATATTGGCTTTGCTGGTCGAAGCTTTGAAGAGTGGTGGTTATTTGCGCAGTCAGGACGGGTCTTTTGGGGCAGTGGATGGTCCAGAGAAGACCGAGACCATCCTCGCGGGGCTTTCTTTCCAGCCAGGAGTGGGGTTCGTGAAGCCAAACTACGGGGCACAGGACTCGGTCCCTTTAAAATTTGGGAGAAAGAAGACATCACAAGCCGCTGGCGGCCTCACCAGCGCAAGGAACGGCGAGTCTGTGTCACTGCCGGTCAATGGCAAACGGAAGAGCACGGACGATGCTATTGTGCCTGCGGGTGTAGGATTTGACGATGGGATGGATGATTCAGACGACGAATTGATTGACGAAGATACCTTGTTAGATGAAGACGACTTGAAGAGGCCTATAAAGATTCGTGAGTGGACGGTGTTTTCCAAGGGTGATCAAGCAGCTAACAAATCCAAGCCACTGAATGCCAACCCAAGGCGAAGCGACGTCGAGCATGCAAGGACTGTACTTGTGGGCTAGCACAGAAACTGGAAGCTGAAGATCGAGCTAGACGAGAGAATGCCGACAAGGCGTTGAACACGATGAAGTTACAAGCAGACGATCTCGCCGAGGTCGACTTTACTGTGCAAGGCAAAGTTGGAAGCTGTGGGAACTGCAGCCTTGGAGGTGAGCCGCCCCTCGTTGTTCTTGACTCTTTTGTTTCTAATACGCTGATGCCTGTCAGATGCTTTCCGATGCGACGGCTGCCCGTATATCGGACTACCCGCCTTCAAGCCAGGTGAAGAGGTTCGATTGCTAAACAATGAGATTCAATTGTAGAAGTGCATACTCGGTACAAGTACAAGAGTTTCATGGCATGGCGACGGCGTTTCGGTCGGCGGCATCTTTAGACTGCCATGTAACACAGATATAAAGGTATCCATATCCATGTAGGGGGTCATGAGGAATGTCTTTGTTGAACTTGAATACAATACCCAATGCAAAGATGAAACTGATTCTGAAACTCGTGGCTTTTGGTGCTGGGCCATATTCCGACTGACATGGAGGGGTTGGACGAATGATGTTCGTGGCGATTGCCCGATTGTCAGCCCCATCTCCACAAAGTCTGTCGGCACCTAGTCGCCGAACCCGCTTGCACCCATTTTTTTTCCGTTATTCTAGCTGACCATCTTGCTCCTCTCGTCTCTCCTCTAGACGACGTTGTCTGTTTTGTTTTGACCACTTTGCCTGGACAAACTGTATCGTGGTGTGGCCTTCACGATTTCGTATCGCTCGAACTGCTCAATCGCATCGCTGATTGAATTCTACCACCATATCTGCGCCCTCACCTCGCAATGTCGTTCTCTTCCCTCGTTCAGGACATTGCCTTCCGCGACTCGCAGTCGCAAACTAATGCGCGGACAAGTGCCAGCAATGTCAGCAACAATGACACCCAGTCTACCATCTCTCGGCCATCACAGGCTCGCTCATACACATCTACGGCCGCCACCAGCGTGAGCATTGCAGGCGATATCTCCAGTCAACTGCACGCTGGCTACAGTCATCCACTTGCTAGATCATGGCAAGCAGAGAGACAACTAACAAAGGTTCGCATCCATCAGCCTATTCTTCAGCAGGGTCTCCTCTCTAACACAATTCCCTAGTCAATGCTCATCTATCCACTCTTCATCACCGACAACCCTGACGAGATAACTGAGGTCCCTTCCCTCCCAAATCAAAAGCGCCTCGGCCTCAATAAACTTGTCCCTTTTCTCGCACCTCTTGTTCAAAAGGGTCTACGCTCCGTCATTCTCTTTGGCGTTCCCCTCGCCCCCGATGCGAAAGATGCTCTAGGCACAGCTGCCGATGATCCGGAAGGCCCCGTTATAAAAGGCATTCAGCTCATTCGTCGACACTTTCCTCAACTATATGTGGTGGCAGACGTCTGTCTCTGCGAGTACACCTCGCACGGCCACTGTGGAATTCTCCGCGATGACGGCTCCTTGAATAACGCGATGAGCGTTGAGCGCATCTCCGATGTTGCTTTGGCGTATGCTCACGCTGGCGCTCATTGTGTGGCACCTTCTGACATGAACGACGGTCGCATTCGCGCCATCAAACTGAAGCTTATCGAGGCTGGGCTGTCACACCAAGTCACCTTGATGAGTTATGCGGCAAAATTCTCCGGTTGCTTGTACGGGCCTTTCAGGGATGCGGCAGGATCGTGCCCGAGCTTTGGCGATCGGAAATGCTATCAGCTCCCTCCCGGTGGCCGGGGTCTTGCTCGTCGAGCCATCACACGAGATATCCAAGAGGGTGCAGATATCATCATGGTGAAACCCGCTTCGTCCTTTCTGGACATTATCTCGGATGCCAAGGAAATTGCAAAGGATATGCCCATCGCCGCATATCAGGTTAGTGGAGAATATGCCATGATCCACGCCGGGGCCAAAGCGGGCGTATTTGATCTGAAGACCATGGCTTTCGAGAGTACTGAAGGTATCTTACGAGCCGGAGCAGGAATTGTGGTCAGTTATTTTACACCGGAGTTTTTGGATTGGCTCAGCGTTTAAATTCTTGCGATGAAGAAGTGAACTCATGGCGCAGGACGAGCGGATATGTTGCCTGGGGCTACATGAGTGGTTTCGTGATGTGATCAAGGAGAAAGAGATCCAATGATGGGCACTGATTTGAAGAGACGAAGCGCATGCATGATTGATGAGACATTATCACCCCGACGAGCAACATGGCTTGCAACAGCTGGAGCTGAGTTTGACGCCATGTTGTACATTAGAGCAGAGGGGGAGGAGACAAGCGCAAGAACGTCGTGGGAACAGGTGGAGAGGCAAAAGGCGCAAAAGGAAAATCAAAACCAATGAGTCTCAAACAAGAATTTTTGCTCGAGCGCAAAGCCTGCCTTTTCCTCGCCCACATACTCGTATTTGCCCCAGCGTTGTACAGAGCGACCCGGGTCATACGAAGATACATACATGTAAACTAGTGTGGAGTGTCAGTGATAAAATTCCTTGTTTACCTTGTTGATTTCCCGGTCTTCCCGTCTGCTGACGACAGCATTTCTCTCGCTCTTGAGCTATCCGTCTCGGCAATGCAATGCTAGGGCTGATTTTCCTTGTGTGAAATATATCCGCATGGGACGTAATTCGCAACCCTTTGTCCAAATCTTTCAACAGTTGACTTTGATGTGGTTCCATCGTGGTCGACGACGACGACGAGTGGAGAGGGAAAAGCTTCTGGGCCTCCGTCTCCGCCATGCCGGCATGGCCCTGCGGTCCCATTTGTTTGTTGTTCTGTCGGAGGCAAAGGCGAAGGTGAGGGTGAAGGCGGGAAGGGAGGCCAGAGGCCAGGGAGGGAGGTAGGGGAAGGAAGGAAAGGGAACGTTCATGGAGTGGCGAGGTGCGGGAAACCAGTCATATCAAACACCGAATTCCGTCCACCGAGGAAGAAAAGAGATGCAGGCAGGCAAACAGGCTGGTGGCGGGTAAGCAAGCAGTCCATACTCTTGGGCAGTCTGGATATGATATGATATAATATATCTGCCTGGATGCTGCCGACCGTCTTGGTTTTGGCCTTGGCCTTGGTGATGGTTACACGCTGCGGTGCGTGAGCACACCAAGATGCGTCTTCGTCCACACTGGTCAATCGAGATGCAGAATCCTACCCGGGAAAAGGGGGTAGTGCAGGACAAAAACATAGCGGCACAGGGGAGGCGAGAAACCGACGGGATGATGGGGAGAGGAAGGAAAAAGGCTGGCTCGAAAGTGTGATATATAAACAAGGATCAGTGACTTTTCAACCCCTCTGTTCTTGTTCTTCTTTATTTATTCATTCTTCTGACCTCTGGGGTTCCCGACTCTTCTCATTCAAGGGTCTAACACAGAGTCATCCAGCGTTAGCCTTGATCTCTTCTCCGTCTCGTTCCATTGGGGGATAGCCGCTAACGGAGAGCGAGAAGAAAGATCAGTCAACGTCACCATGATGCTCTCTTCCGTCCTCTATGCCGGCCTGACTCTGGCTGCCACGGCTTCGGCATACAGTATCGACCTCTGGAGCAAGTACGACTACCAGGGGGACCAAGCCAAATTTGTAATATCCCTGGCTCCTTCTTGCTGGCTGTTTTGAAATCAGCAGTCTACCCTCGCAGAATCATGTACTGATTGGAAAGCACAGACAACCGAGTAAACCAAACCCCTGTTTCACCCGTTTTATTAGCCTGGTGAAAGGGAAAGAAGAGACGAAGCTAACCGATCACGGGTGTGAAAACACAGTGGTATACACAAGGTCTCCTGGTCTGGAGGTGCAGGCTCGTGGATTTGGAAATCTGACTTCAATGATGGGTGCTGTGTAGTGTTTTGTCGGGGAAGCACGGTAGGAAGTCCTCTTCTGCTTCACTTTCTCGAGCATCTTATGTTCGGCCCTTTTCCTTCATCATGGCTGACTGATTTTGTTGTCGAGTAGAATGTTGGGAAGTATTGTCAGTCTGCCGAGAAAGCAGAATCGTCGGCCGGAGTGAACAAAGTGGTCATCGGCTGCGGAAACACGACGTTGAACTGCTAGAAGGCAATTTGCACTCACGAAAGGCTTCGCCTCCATGGAGCGGGGTGATGTTCTCTCGTTGACCAACAATCACCCTGGCTCCTTAGCTCGTCTTGTGAACACGATGCGCCTTTGCAGAGACGTAGATGTTGGCGAGTTCTAGATCAGTCTGCAAATTTTCCACAATGATGATATGAAAGGATTGGCACATGAGTAACTCATGTTGAATTTCACTCGGAATCGCCGGGGTCAGCCGAGCATGTTCAGGACACGGATGGTGGTGAATATGGCAAAGTAAAATAGACCAGGGCTTTCCTCATCGTGTGACCTCCGCAGATCCGTGACAAATCAGGAAAGAGTTCTCTCGGTCCCTGTGAAAGCTGAAGGAAGAGGAAGCAGATCCTGGCTACATTTGCGGTCGGGAGACGCGCACGAGAGCGCCATCCTGTGTAGCTTGCAAGCAGAAGACAGAATGACCGACCTAATGGAAGAAAATTGGTGACATCGGCCCTTTGGGATGCAGGCGGATGGATTAAATTTTGAATAACACATATCAATTGTCTCCCTCTCTCCAGTGTGATCGACCGATGGTACTAGGTTAAGGAGCAATCAAAAATTTGGCGTCGATGATCCTGGAGAGGTTGCACTGGAGTCGGTCAGTCATTGATCTGATGTCCATTCAGACGCGCCAAGTTCCGAAGCAGCCAATACTATGGTGTACACCATAGAGGAGAAGGTTCAAAAGGGGCAAGAGAAGGCGAGAAAGCAGGAGACACAGGCGAGGCGAGGCGAGGATGTTTGACGCAGGGAAGGGGGAGGGACAGAGAGGAGAGGCGTTGACCGCAAGATTTTCAGGATGCGCAGGCACCGCAGGTGAAGATGAGGGAGCAAACCGAGTCAAAAGGACGGTCAAGACGGTCAAAGTTGGTGGCGCGTCAGAGTCAGACACAATGCACAAATCAGCCTCAGGCCTTCCGCAGTCTATTCTTTGTCTCTTCTTCCGCCTCACTCCTCTTCTCTCACTCGTCCGTGCTCGTCCTCTCCTTTGCATTGCCGCTTTTCTCACTCTCCTGTCAGAGTTCTAGAACCTCTCTTTTCATCAGGCTCCTCTGTTTCGACTATCGTATCCATAAGTCCGCCTAACAGCCGCCCCCGTTCCCCATGTCTCCTGATCCACTACCTCCTCGGCCGTCCACCCTACCAACTATTCAAGTCCCTACTGCGACCACGCAATACTTCGCCACATACAAGAAGTCCCCACATCTGAACGTATCCTACCGGAGCACATGCAGCTTGTCTACCGCCCTTAGTCGCATCTGCTTCCCTTTTGATGCTCGTTGCTTCTGATGCAGGCATCTCGTTTCTCGCATCCATCACAGACAGGTACATCTTGTATAGGGCTGAGTCCCCTGGCAGCAACCCACCATCGACCTTCCACCAGTTGTTGATGCTGAGGGCTAGGATGAACTGGAAATATCAAACTCGGCTCGCAATCATGGCCATATTCGATGTCCATATCGCAACAGATTCGATTGGCTTTGGTCAAGTTGTAAGTGATCAACATCAGACGGCATGGCTATCCCGCCTTCGGGCCTACAAATCATCATGGTTGTATTTTTGTGTTGGCCCTTGACGATCCCTCGTATTCATTAACCCCGTATTCTAAAATCACGCATACCGCTCTCTGGCAGATCGCAGAAGCCTCGCATGGCCGCCACCGACTACCTCTGCAGCCAGAAGATGGCAATGTTCGTGGACCAGCACCTTCAGCCTTATGCTCAGGCACATGCGTTCGCACCTTCGGCCGAAGGCACTCCTTGGCTCAGTGTTGGCATTGCGTTTCCCGCATCAGTAACAACAATGGTATGTAAGCTCAGGCATCAAGGCGGATTAATTCCACATCTACCCTGATAATACCTTTCGCTTTCGCTTAGTCCGCCCCTGGAACCGGACTCACTCTCAAAGATCTTAACCTAGGTGCCTGGACAATAGGTAACAGATGCGGTGGCAGGCTATGTAGGCAATGCAGATCTCTTCTTGATCTGTCCTGCCTTAGGCCGCGCAGCTGAAAAGAAGGTTCCGCTTCTTAACCCCGGTGCGGTGATATTGTACAAGTAGAGTCATATTGATCGACTCCCAGAACATCCTTGGCCTTGCTGTCCGGGAGAGAAATACTACCTTTGGCACTCAAACACGATTGGCTGCAGATTGGCATGTTGCTAAATCCAACACCAGATCCCGGAAACGTCGGTTCCTTCACACTTTATTCACTCATCGTGGTATCATTAGCGAGGTCGCGATCTCGAACTCGGGAAGAAGACTTCTAAAGCAGCGGTGGGTGGATAGCATGGGCCATCTCCTGAGTTTGTACGGGAACGTTAAGCCCTACGGCCCTAATACAAGTGGACTTTGCACACCGTTCTCCACCCGATGGTCTGCGTCTACTACTGGGACATCCTTCCTGCTATGCGCCCAGTACGTCCTATCAGAACAGGAGATGAGAATTCTAGCATACTTGGGAGGAGCCCGGCTGTGTCAGCAGCTGCCCGCGAGAGGCGCTACCTTACGATATAGTCCCAATCGTGGACATCTAATGTCGTGGCACTCTTCCACGTTCCGATCTTGACCCCGGAATGGGATTCCCGTACGGCCCTTTCTACTGTACGCCCAAAGGGACCCCCGTTGGGTCCCGCCCCGGTGAGGTAGAGTGGCTCAGCCCATATGTGGACAAGACTACATAATGTCTCTGCTGCTGAGCCACGGTTGTGCCTTCTCCAGATGAGAAGAAATGGACTGGTCCAGTTCACGTACTTACACCTTCACAAGTCACAACACACGAGGGACGATCAATAACACGATCTCGACGACCTCCCCTGGTGTTGGGTCCCACTCAATCCTATTCAGCTCCAGCACTGCTGTCTCCACATGGTATTATGCTGATACCATATCAACAAACGATCTGCTCAAGCCCTTCGGTCATGAACACAAGGCCCCAACATAGCCGCACAGTGGTGAGTTCACCCGGACACAGAACCTCAGAAGAGAAACAGGAAAGCAAACCAAAAGGAGAAATTCATGAGGCTGAAGGTCGTTCTACTCTCTTAGAACCCTAGAAGCCATTGTCGTCCCTGGTTCCCCTGATCTTCCCGCCCTGCGCCTTACCTTTAATGTTACTCTGCACTCGGATTGAAGGGTGATTTGTCCCTTCCCGACCCCAATGCCCGGGAGACCATCTTATTTTCCTGTCCAGCCAACTGCACCTCGGGCACGGCACTTATATCACTGCACACCAGATCTTTCCTATCAGTTCTAATCTGCGTCTACAAGAGAATTTGATACTCACTCCCCCAGTTTTATGAGCCTACCGGTGCTCTGCCCATAGCCTCGACCGATCCGAAGACAACACTGACTCTTTTTGGAGACCAGTTCGTCTGTCAGATGCTCGAAGATATATCCGGCGCTGGCATGAGCAGTAATCTGAATGTGGGCAACTCCAATGCATCACCACCCCATCCGCCTTCTCGTGCGATGCCGGGTGATAAAGCACGCATGAAGAAATGGGCACCAAAGACGTTCAACGGATGTCTTACCTGCAAGTAAGCCTTCAAATGTTTCCCTCTACTGTCCTTCTCCACTGACGAACTGTTCTTGCAATAAGGCGAAGACGGATAAAGTGCGACGAGGGCAAACCATCCTGCCAGAGGTAGGTGCAACTCTGACACTTTCATTAATTCCATCACTGATATGATCCAGATGTATCAAATCAAACCTCAAATGTAATGGATATGCCGCACCAAAGATCAAGCTATTTGATCCGAATGCCTCATCAACAGCTTCAAGCTCAACGCCACCGCCCGCGACAAGCCAAGCCCTCGTGTCTGGACAGAAACCTGCTTCACTTGACGACAGTGAATGGCATTCGACTTCGCTAACCCATCCTCATCCTCAAGAGCTCGCGCTTGTTCCTAGATTCGGCACGCAGGAGGAATCACAAAGCTTCCAGTTCTTCCTCGAAAAAACCTCCGACCTGATCTCAGTATACTCGCAGCCATATCTATGGACGGTGCTCCTGCCTCAAGCTACATGGCATCAACCCTCTATCAAGCACTCACTCGTCGCACTTGCTTCGCTACACCGATACCTCACCACGGTCGGCCCTGCCTCACAACGAGCAAACCATAACTTTGTGTTCCACTACAACAGTGCCATCCGCGCCTTGGTGGCTGACAGACCGTCCATTGATGTTGTGCTCGCGGCATGTGTCATCTTCTGGGCGCTGGAGAATTTCAATGGAGGTGGCCAAGTGGCCATCGACCATATGCAGGCCGCGCTCAAGATCTTGGGGGAGTGGAAAAGCAAACACCGACCCAATGACCCCTCCAAAGACTTCATCATCAGATACATCGAACCAACAATTCGAGACGGAGTTAAATTCGCCTCGAAATGTCGTGTCGAGGAACTGGCTAGCCAGATGAGCGCACTGTCCCTGACAACACGCGATGTGAGGATCATGAATATGGAATACCCTGAATTCAATAGCCTGGAGGATGCAGGCAACTACTTGAACGACTGTATTGGGGACATTCTCGCGCTTAAAGATCAGGCTACGGCATTAGTCAGTCCAGGTCCTCGCCTCATCGAACAGGTAGAAGGGCTCGACGCCCGCCTCTACAAGTGGATGAATCTGTTCCAGAGCCTCACGGCCACTGGACCTGTATATACCCGACGCATGCTCGTTGTGCATAATGTCGCTGCAAACATACTGCTGGACCAACTCAAGACACGAACGCAATATGATAATACAGGCGACGAAGTGGAGCAGGAGGAGCCGCGTCGCTGTCGATTTAATTTCACCGTCCTTGAAGTTGAGGATATTCTAAGATACGACCCACTAGCCACAGTTGAGACACGAAGGAAGAAACCACCGAGTCTGGGATTCATTCCGCCTATATTCCTGGTAGCGACCACGGCGCCGAAACCTGAGACTAGGACAAGAGCGATGAACGTGCTGAGACTGTTGAACGTGACCGAGGGTCCGTGGAATGCAGATCATGCGGCGCAAATAGCGGGACGGATGCTGGAGATCGCAGACGAGTGTGCGATTCCCCCTTCGGCAGTCGAGTTGCGCCATCTCCATTTTGGTTTTGACCCAGACCAAAAGGTGCTGAGTATGCGATGGGCACCGGAAGACCCGGCGATGCTGAATGTAAGCATGATCAAGCAGATCGATGCTCATAACATGAACTGGAGCGAACTGGTAAGTCTACACGTTCTGCCTCCTTGGACTACGAATTGATATTTTGGTTGCAGACCGCTATACCTGAGTTGATCAAGAGATTCGGCTATCAGTTACCACCTTCTACGGCCAGGACACCCCCTTCTGAATGTTGATCCGACGTAGCAGTTCACTGTGCGGTCTACGTGCAGATGTGCGGCGAGGGATCAAGAACCTCTGGTGCTAATGATAGCGCCGACATGACGCCGACCGATGGAACACTATTATACTACCTGCTGGACGGGTGGACAGAAGGACTTGTCATTTGATTGAATGCTCGAGCGACACCAACTACAAACAACGGTGACGCCGATGGGCATCCTTGTTGACGACACGACCTTTCTTCAGTGGGGGACTTTCTTTGATGAATGCGGTTTTCTTGTCACTTTGGAAGTTGACGTTTATTTTCGAAGCGGGGAAATAGTTTCTTTTGCTGGTCATTCAAGCCCAAGGTTCTAGACTTGCTTCAGGCTATTAGAGCAGCAACAGCAGCAGCAACGTGGGTTGGGAATGAACAACATGAATGGAATGGGCTGGGCTGGAACCAGGTTAGATTGAGTGGACAGATCAGTCAACAGGAACAACAAGTAACAGGCAACAGGCAACAGGCAACGATCGCAATTAAGCACACGACAATGGTCATGATAGCTGGGGCGTTTTGCATGTATTATTTGACAATGTTACAGACATTATACAGAGCCGGGCTGCGCTCGTTTTCTTTCATCAGGTGATGCTGTTCCTGGTTTTCATGTCCCCTTCGCGTCAGGATGTCTGAAAACTTTTGGTCGTCTGCTTTAGCTTGCTTAAAATCCTTGAGTTGTGCGATTTCCAAGTCTATCTCGGCGGCGCAGATGCTCCTGGACCGGGACCGGGACCTGAACCTGGAATCGGAGTGGTACCTGAATGACCATGGCTCTGGCTCCCCTGCCTCGACGACTTGGCCGCTGCACTCCCCGCGGCGGCCTCCTGCTCGAGGAAATGCTGCCACAGCTCCGCCAGGGTCTCGCGGGAGTGCGGGCTTGTGGCGCTTTCGGGCCCGGCGCCGAAGTAGTCCGGGTGGTTGAGGGCCGGGGTGCTCGGGGTCCTGTGCACGATGGGCGAGCCTGGAGAGGCGACGGCGGCCGTCAGAGAACCCAAGCCGCGCAGGGAGTTGAAACTCGAAGTCGTAGTAGTGGTGGTCGACGCCGACCCGCCAAAGGTCGTCCCGGGCCTAGCCAGGCCGGCCTGTTCGCGCTGTTCGTCGTTCCAGCCCAGCAGGGCGGCGATGAGCTGGAGGATCTGGAATTTCTTGGGGTCCGAGCGGTCGAGGGCCAGGAAGTGCAGGAAGTGGTTCGTCACTATCTGTCTGTGTAGGAGGAAAAAGCGACCGCCCTCCGAGGAGAAGGGCGTGTGGCACTCGTCAGTCAGCCCGAGAGAATAGCAAAAGGACCAAACAAAAAGAAGAATTGGATTGGGTTGTACGAGAGAGACTTGCGAAAAGGCGAAAAAGGGGGGCCGACGGATAGGATAGTGGAAAGGGGGTACAGCGGCACGATTGGGCCGAAAACAGGCCTCAGCCTCGTCATGTGGCGAATGATCGTCGCAACTTGGGGGGAGGTGTGAGAGTATTCTAAAATTATAGTTCTGACACTGCATTGAATCGATGAGGCGTGCCTTGGGGGAGATTCTTTTTTGGAAACGCGGAGTAACGAGGAATGGAGCAACAACCCATTCATTCGTCCACAACGCACAAAGATGGAGGGCCCAGCCAGGCACATGGCTTCGGAGACATGTGGTGTATTGTATGCAAAAGGAAAAAAAGGGCACTCGGAGACATTTTGGCAGCAAAAGATGAGAAAGGGGAAAAAACCCACCTATCCACGTTATCCTCGGGCTTGCCCTTCTTGAGAAACCTCAGCGCCTTAGTAAGATGATCGTTGAGAATGACGGCTTCATGCCGCAGCTTGCCGATCAAGAGGTTCTTCTCTTTGACTTCCTTTTCGAAGGGAAGGGCTCGCTCGAGGTCTTTCTTGGTTTGTTCCAGTTCCGCCACGGTCGAATCGTGGGCCGCCTGGAGGTCTGACAACTGTTTTCGCAGGTCTTCTTGTTCGCTCTGAGAAGTTTCGACCAGTTCTTTCAGCTCCTGTTTTCGCAGTGTTTGGATCTCCTGGAGCGCCTTTTGAAGACCTTCGACCGTTGACGAGTGGGTGTCCCTCTCGCTGACTGCTTTCTCGTACGCTTCCTTTAACGAGCCGAGTTGTTCCTCTAAATCGGCGTTGCGGTCCGCCAGGTCCTTGCGCATGGTGCGTTCTTCCATGGCAAGAACCTCCCAATCGTGCATAGCCTGTTTGGCGTTCTCGAATTCGTCTCGTATGTAGGCTTCGGACTCGACGAGTTCTTCTTTCTCCTTGAGCCAGTTTTGCTGGGAAAGCGTCAGGCGGTTGCGGAGAGTGGACAGTTCTTTGGACTGTTCCGACTGTTTCTGCTCAAGGTCGGCATTTCGAGCCGTGAGTTCTTCGACTTCAGCTGAACGGGCGGTGTAGCGCTCTTGCAGTTCGGATCTCTGTTCTTCGAGCTCTTCAATCCGCGTCCGTGCCTGCGCTAGATCCTCCTGTAGAATACTTTGTCAGTCTTGCCAGGGGCCGTCTTCCTCAAATCGACTGGCTCAAGCCATCACGTACTGCATCGGCCTTTAATCTCTCCCCTAACTGCGACCGTATGGTATTCACCTTGCCGAGCAAGGACTGGTATTGTTCCTCGGCATTCTCTTTTTCGACCTGCGTCTCAGCCAGCTCTGTCTGGACCGCTTCGATTTCCGTGGCATGCTTGGCCTGCAGTTCTTCCAGGGACTTGCGCAGTTCCGTCACCTCGAGTCGTAGGGCATCACGGTCCTTGACAAGAGCGTCAAAGCGGGCAGCTGCATCATTATCGTTGTCGTCGTCGATCGACAGATCTTTGACCCCGTTGGCAACAGTTACCGTATCGGAGGCTTCATCTCCTGACCCCTCTTTGATGGGGGACACTGCAGTCTGCTCTGCTTCTCGCTCGTCATTTTCTGCGTCATCCTCGTCGTCCGGACCGTTTTGCGTCTCGTGAGCGTCGACCGGTGTCGTGGGGGCGTCCGTCTCTGTTTCTGTCTCTGTCGTTGCGGCTTGCGCGTTGCCCTTTTTCTTGGACTTTTTCTTCTTTTTGGATTTTTGGTCTACCACGGTAAGTAAGTATGAGCGAACGTTTACAACCGATCCCAGTGTACATTACGTACCTCCCTGAGGCATCGAAGACATGTTTGTGGAAGACATGATTTTATTGCTGGGTTCTAGAACCGGGGCCTGGACATTGGGGATGCTTTGGGATTCTCGAAACGTGTCAATTGTTGCTTGGCGTAATGCACTTGCGTTGCGCTGCACGCCATCATGTCATGCTGGTGACGGGCCGAGCCCCCTTTCGCTGATTATTCCACCGAAGCAAAAACATCATCCGCCTCTGGCTATCTTTAGTGCCCTCGTAACCTATTTACAAGTGTACCTCGTACAGACCATACAATTCTCCGGTCATGATGTTTGAAAAGAAAACATTTATTCGCCAGGGTATAAGATCATATACGCCGTCGTGAACCGTCAACCTACTGTGAGAATGTTCATTTCAATGCTTCCACAAACAAGCCTCTCATCCCTTTGAGAAGAGTCCCGATCTCTCTCGTCGCATTTAGCCGGTCAACCACCTTTGCGACCTTGACACTCTCTAACCTAGGCTTTGTATACGACACGTCGTATCTCCCGCGTCCGGTATCCGGCACCAGCAACTCAAAGAGGCCTTCCCTCTCGTCGCCGGAATTCCCACCGCTGCCTTTCGCTGGCGGGAACACGAACACAATCCTGACTTTGTTCTCGTCCCCGCTGCCTTCGATGCGGCAACCCAGATATGTCTCCCAAAAACTGAGCTCCGGGCCGTTGAGTCGGCTCTGGCCATCCATCTTCGCAGCGTATTCTCTTTGTGCTTGTAACTTCGCGTCGATCTGCCGCTGCGTTTGTGCGATGGCGGATTTGAGCCGGTCTCGCTGCGCCGACTGCGCCGCCTGGTGTGACTCCAGCTTGGATATTTGCGCGTGCATCTCGTTCTTTTCTGCCTGCTCACGGGCGAGGACCTGGCTATGCGTCGACAAGGTAGATTGTAGGGTGACGATCTGTGTGTTTGCTGATCTCTGCTCCTCTGTACGAAAACCTCATCAGTTTTGGCTTTCTCGACAAACCCTTCGACTGCGCCTTTGCGCAAAGCGAACTGTTGTTTGCTGCTGCTGTTGTTGTTGTGGAGGGACTTACCATTCAACTCTCCCAGGCGCGCCCGAAACTCGTTCCTCTCCTCCAGCACTCTCTTTCTCCCCCTCTCAATGAATGCGTCAAACTTGACTGTGAAATCGGCCATTCGCTTGCGGAGATCTTCAAAGTTGAAGTCAACTGCAGGCAGTTGTGTGAGCGGGTTGTCCGAGTACGACATGGGTGGCGCGATTTGCTGCGACTGCGACGCGCGGAAGGAAGATGTGCTGGTCGCGAATGTCGACGGAGTCATGGCGGCGGTGGTCATCGTTGCGAGAATCTGTCTGTGTTTCTGCTTTGGCGATAGAGTCTGTCTGGAGAATATGCTGCGGAGTTCAATAATGTGAGGTGGTGCGTCGGATCCGTGGCCGCCGTCGCAGTTGGCGAAAACGGTGGGTGCGCAGAACACAAACCCCAGTCGACCGGGCAACCAAACGCCGAGGCTGATTCAACGATCGAACCAACAACACCGCAGTTTCACTCCAGCATCAGATTCCAGAGAATACGTGATGTGTACGAGGTACACGCTAAATGCATGTTCAACCAACATTTGTTATTCATACAATTTGGTATCTCTTCGCTTGCTAGAAAGACATAACTCTAACTCTGACAAATTATCCTTCATTTGATGGAATCCTCCCGTATTTCTGAGGCGAGTTCTTCCCGCCCCTCGCTGTTCTCGCTGCTGGCATCTCCCGCGCCCATCAGCTGGGCAAGCATGGCTTCCATTCTTTCCAAGGCGTCTTCTATCTTGTGCAGCCTCGCCGTCGCCTCCAGGAATCGGCCGTCTTGTCCACCGTCCAGGTCAACCAGTGAGTCAATTC